GTGGACGGCCAACGCGAAGTCTGCCAGTCATCAGGGACGGAAAATGCAACCCACCCACTCGACCCCGATTGAAAGAAAAAGAGACAATCTAAAATCATGGGTAAAAATAGCCCTTCTGCCCCTTGAGATGGTGTTTGTCACAAGGACAGTCGCCGTGGATGCTTCTGTGCCGCTGGCAGTTCCTGACTCGTCTCATCCGGAGCAGCCTCTCGGTTCGCGTACTCGGTAGGCCGGCCAACAACACCAGTGGTGAGACAGATCGTCATGACGCACGAAATGCACAAAATGCATACATGTGTGTGCCTCCAGCAGCCAAACGGGTATGACAAGTTTCCCGAGCATCCGTCGCATCCCTGGATGAGTCAAGTCTGTTGATGTGTGTCTTGGTGTTTCATGGGCAGGAGCGAGTAGTACTTGACCCTTTGTTTGGTTGCGCCAGGCCGCCAAAAAGGGTTAGTGATGCGCGGGAATTGCCAGTGGCCCCCACTTGCCGTCCTCGGCAGCTAATTTTAGCGCCTGGGCCAACGCTTAAAATGGTCCGAAGATTAGATAAGCCTCGGCTCGTGCACCAGTTGACAGGATGAAGAATGAAGACGCTCGAAAGTATCGGCGGTGCGGATTGGGACTGGCAAACGGTGAGGAGAGAAAAGGGGTGTAGAAGAGGGCGGCAAGGGGCTACACTGGCGATTTATTTTGCTGGACAGATTCCATCATTCTCGCACGCCTGGGGTTAAATGTGCATCCCCGTCGAGGTGTACTCCGTGTTGCATGGTGACTTACCGGGTAATCGTCGCAGAAGATTTTAGACGGCTAGTGAAGGGGGGCGGGAAGCACGGAGCACTAGAATGCGACGGCCCCGGGTTGAGCAAGCAGAGCCACAACCCGCCCCCGTTGGTGTGCGCCTTGCAACCACCCCGCCACGTGTGCTGCCCTGCAAGGCAGCTCTCGACCGCGAATCCGCTCGCCAATGCAGCGTCCTGTCATAATCGTCAGGGGCCAGGGTCCACTGTGATGCGTTGGCAGGGTCTGCCTGGTGTGGATAATATACGTGCGTACTCCGTACTCTGGAGGAAAAAACCGCATCTCGGATGAGTCGAGATCGACTTGTCACGTAATCAAGGTGAGCGGCTAGGGGGGTGGATCAAGAGATGTTGATTGGTATTTGGTTCACCCTACACATGGAACGGACCGGCGAGCCAAATGTGCAGTAGTCATCCGGAATAGGCACTATAGATATCAAGTCTGGTACTTTGTATGCATGACCAAGGAAGATGAAGCCCCGCAGGAAATTGCTGTAGACATTGCAACTGTCAGCACCGAGACAAACAGGCACTTGCTGCGGGAAAAAATAGAGGTCACGTTTCATCTTGATCTATGTACGGAGGGCGCACACAGTAACTCGCAGGGCTTGGTGCAGGCTGCGGCGGTTGCCGCCACTCGGACACAGGCGTGAGCCTTTTGTCGCTGTGATGACGCTACGGAAGCGGACATGGCCCTGCGGATGTTTTTCGGAATCTTTTTTCCCTTTTGGCGCACAGCCAAAAATGCTCGTAGAAGCAGCTTGCCTGGTTCCCTCTTGCGATCCATCAGTTCACTGGCGAACCAGACAAGGCGACGAGTCGTTCCGTCTGGGGCTTCACTCGCGGAGTGGCTGGCGCGAGGACCGCAAAGCTGATGCGGATTATATGGCCATGCATGAAAGTGTCTGAGTGAGGCCTGGCGGGGTTCGTCAACGGGCATTTCGGGAAGTTTGGTGGCCCAGTTCAGACTCGGCATGCGGCATGGCGGAGCATGAGCGATTGGCCTTTATGGTTCGTTCCCCCTTGGCGATGACAACCTTGTTGCTGATCAAGCCAGCCGTTGTGTGGCGCGCCGCATGGTGAACATGGCGGTACGATGCCAACACACTGCAAAATTGGATTCAGTTTCTCGGGACGTCGAGACCGAGAAAATACGCTCGACCAAGTTGTTTCGCATATGGATTTCCTCCATTATCGCTTTACGCAGACCAGAAACAAGGCTTAAAGTAACCTACGCTCCTATGCGCGTCTTCACGTTGCTTGGTTAAAATTGGAAAGGTATTATCGGCTTACCGAACAGGCCTCTGAATATGTGGCTGGTATTCTCCTCCACCCAGCACTTTAGAAGAGCTACTTGAGTGAGCAGTGGAAACAAAATCCAGCCATATAGCTGCAGAGCGCATATTCTCGGCAACGAGACGGCAGGCTACATGGGATAGAAGGAGCACGTCTGCTGAAATGGTAGACGTATCTAAGCGCATCACGAGCCGGATAAGTATGCGAAAATGGAAAAGTAGACCGCTCCTCGCTAGGGGTGTTTAGGAGAGCGGAAGATATTAACCCGGCTGTAAGGATCATGGGGGATGTAAACACGGATAAGGGGGCGGAAAGTGACAGCAAACGTGAATGATTGGCAGTGTAGGAAGACAGAAAATAGTAAACGTCCTTGGGCAACTTGGAGGGCATGTCGCACATCAGTACAGCGTTTGCTAAAATATTGCGCTGTAACTGGACATCGTTTTATATAAAACTAAAAGTATACCAACGTTTGGTTTCATGAAACTAAAACTCGCCTGGGTCCAGTTTCATAGTGTGTCTACACAGCACCGACCCAACATTGACAGGCCAGATAAGACACTGCTATTCTCGACTTTTGGACAATGTAGACGCGATGTTCGTTCAGTAGGCTCCCTTTTATATTGGCACGACATCGTCCTCGGTTCCCCTCACAAACTCCTGCCAAGTCGTACGAGATGCCTCGTCGGGATTCTCGTCCCTCCACTTCCAGTAGTTGGCGAGAATATCAGCCCCCGTGTCGACACTCGCAAAGCCATGCCGCCTCTTCCGCTTGAACCACTCCAACGCCCGGGCCTTCATATACGCAGAGCCGCACTCGGCAGCAATGACGAGACACGGCCACAATAATATACACCCGTTTGAGGCTCCGGCAATCTCCTCGGCTGTTTCAAGATGGCACAGAGCACGGTCGACCATGCCGGAGACACTCTCGGGAGAAGACTGGTAAATGCACCGCTGGAAATAAATCAGCAACGCGTAATAGTAAACGTGCGCATAGTGCATCGCCGCTTGGGCATCCTCTCGGCGCAAGTAAATCCCCGGAGAGACAGTGGCCGGCGCGTGAAGACTGGCTTGGAGCTCAAGTCGCTGTAGGTCTAGTTTGCTGCTTGCCGTGTCGGACCTGCTTCCGCTGCCAGCGACGTATCGGTTAATGGCAAACACCGAGCGCAGGATAAACTTGTCAACACCATGGTACTGGCTCATGTAGCTGATGGCGCCGGGAAGCTTGGCGATGAGCGCGTCAATGTCATACGTGGTCTTGACGTTTCCGAAGACGGCAAGACAGAGCAACTGTTCGAGAACCAAGTGCATGTGCGAGCCGGCCTGGACCTCGATCTCGCTCGGATCAGCAAGACAGCCCAAGGCGCCTTGCACGTGGCCGCGCCAGTTTCGGCCCTCTCCGCCGACGACATCTCCGAGTATACAGAACAGGATTGCGCTCAGGACGGCCGTGACGTTGTCGCTGTCTCTCGGGGACTGGAAATCGATGGCGAGCTGCAGATGCTGGAGGGCGAGGCGGTTGTGGCGTGCGGCGAGCAATTTCGTGACGCCGGGTTTCGCCACGCCTAGATATAACTGATTTTCGGCCGAGGCGGCACAGAGGCCATGGAATAGAGCGAGGTTGCTGCTTGACTGGGTGACTGGCAGGTGGATGCCGTTGAACGCAAAGGGGAGGTATACAAGCCGGTACGGGTTATCGACTAAATCTACCGGCACCATGTTCTTGCACATGAAGGAAACCCAGTGATGTAGTAGGTCCCTTTGGCACGAAGGGACCGCCAGCTCGTCAGCTTGGACAGAGCGAAACCTTGGATAAGAACATGGCGGTGTGTGCTGGGCGTATTCCCAAGAACCTCCAAAGGCAGCAACTGCTCTGTTGTCGGCAGAGCCGGCATACTTGTCGTTGCCGGACACGGTTGGCCGACCATCAGTCGTTGTGGCACTGCTGCTTGGAGCATTCGTCCAATTCAGCCTGACGCCGTAGCCTTGGCAGGCGATGCGTGCGCGCGAGCAGCGGTCGCAGACGGGCCGACGTTCGTCGCACTTGATGCGGCGCGAGCGACAGGTCCAGCAGCCTGAAAAGGTCCTGGTCTTTTTCTTCCTGCTCCCAGTCGGCGTGCGGCCGGAGGTGGCCATGCTGGGGTTGAACATGTCGACGGTCTCCGTGGTGGGAAGAGACAGAGATTGTGATGTCGTCAGAAGTTGGATGTGAGTCCATCTTGACGTCTCCGATATCCCCTGGAAAACGATCGGCGCCATGCTCCACTCGGCTCGCTATGGCATTCCTCATCCGTCTTGGCTCCATCTATTAACTGCTGCCGCCACGGGGCGGACCATGCATCTTATCGGGGCTAAGAAGAACCCCCACCCCGGACGTGGACGTGCATGTAATGCCACGGCGCCGGAAGCCTCGGCTAGTTCGGAGTCCGGACAGCCGACGGGGGCCGACCCTCCTGGCCAACAAAGGCAACATTGAATCCAACGCTACTGCCGTTGAAGTGATGCCAACAAAGCGTCGCACCGGTAATGGATCTGTGTGAAGCTATCGTCGAGTCGAGTGTCGAACGGCAGTGCTGCTAGAGTGCGTTTATTGGCTCGCAGCCTCGACGCCATCGGCCGTCCGCGGTAGCCCGTGAATAGAAATAGGCAACTTGCAACGGAAACCTACACAAAGCAAGCTAGTGGTCCCCAGGTTGTTTTGAGATAGTACCAGACCTGTATATTATATCACTTCTCTCTTATATATAAAGCCGGGTTCGTTCTCGAGTCCAGTAGTCTTGCATCTTCTATCCATCCTCAGTAACTTGCTGCTCTTTACAGCCTTGAACCTCCTAGCTCACTATCCTTCCTTCATCCCATTGAAATTTTTAGTCCAGCGCTACTTGCAAGCCGTTTGAAGCCATGGCAGACGTCATTATTGTGGGAGCGGGCCTCTCCGGCCTTGCGGCGGCCGAGAAGCTCGTGGCGGCCGGCAAGTCGGTCGTTGTCCTCGAAGCACGCGACCGCGTCGGTGGCAAGATTTACGACGCGCACTTTACCACCCCCACTGTGCGCGGATATGCCGAGACGGGAGCGTCGTTTATCGGTCTCGGTCAGACAGAAGCCATCGCGCTCAGCGAGAGACTTGGCCTTCGGCTATTCGATACATATGACAAAGGCATGATTGTCGTCTCTTCCCCCTCGGGCGAGCGCAGGCTGTTTGACCCAGAAGACCCCCAGTCTGCAGCGTCGGCATTTTAAACCAAAGCCACTAAACAGCTCGAGGCCGTCGTGGTACAGCTCGACACGATGGCCGCGGAACTGGATCTCACCACGCCATGGAGTCATTCCAAGGCCGTCGAATGGGATTCCCAAACGCTGCATTCCTGGATCGGCGCGCACCTCTCCGAACCCGAGGCAGTGGCGGTGCATCTCGCCCAGTGGCGGGCAGTCCTGTCCGCCGAAGCAGCCGACGTGTCGCTGCTCCAGGCCCTGACGTACATCGTAAAAGCCGACGGCAACTCCCCCGAGCGCGGCGGAAAAGGCAACTGGGCACAACTCATCAGTATAAAGGGCGGCAGTCTCGAGAAGCGTGTCGAGAACGGGCCCCAGCTTCTTGCTCTTCGGCTCGCCGAACGTCTCGGCAGCAACGTCGTCAGGACAAACTCGCCCGTGTCCGGTATTAGCAAACGCGGCAGCGAGTACATCGTCCACATCGAGCCGAGAATCGACGAGCCCAAGTCCGTCGCGACGGCTCGCAGCGTTCTTCTCGCCCTATCACCGCCGCTTGTGTCGCGGCTGCGATTCGACCCCCCCTTGCCGATTAGCCGCGACATGCTCGGCCAGCGCATGAGCATGGGCGCCGTGGGAAAGGTCATTGCCGTCTACGAAGCGCCCTTTTGGCGCGATGACGGACTGAGCGGCCGGGCATTGGGGCTCGATGATGCCCACGTCAAGTTTACCTTTGACGCGTCGCCCGCCGACGCTTCCTGCGGCATCATCATGGGCTTCCTTGTGGGCAACTACGCCCGCAGGCTGGATGATATGAGCGATAAACATGTCCAGGAGGTAGTTTCCCGCGAGTACGTGCACCTCTTTGGTCCCAAGGCAGAGAATGTGCAGCACTGGATCGTGCAGCGCTGGAACAGGGAGGAGTACTCGCGCGGTGGCCACTTTGGCTTTTGCCCCCCCAATGTCATGACTGTTTATGGGGGGGACCTCGCCGCACCGCCTGTGGGCGATATCTTCTTTGCCGGGACGGAATTGTCCAGCCGGTGGGCGGGGTTTATGGAAGGTGCTATTCGAGCAGGTCGCGCGGCGGCGGACGGTATTATCGAGCGCTTCATGGACCGGGGACGCGGTGGCTCCTGATAAAATGGGCACATGAGAGAGGGAGTGGGTTACTAGACTTGGGTGGATTCTGGTAGTTTGTCCTCCGTATAAGGAGCAGAAATACTAGCTGCCAAGGTCAAGTCGCTTCAATGTTATTCAGCCTAATGATTCGAATGGACCCAACACCCGTGACGTTACCAAGGCGAGGGACTCGACGGCTGCCAATTGGCAGGTAATTTGCAAAAACAAACAGCAGAGGAGTCTGGTGTATCTCTGCATATCAGTAATTTGCCTCTTGCGCTACGTGCATAAGAGCTGACAATCTGGCGACTTTAGTCTCAGCTCACGCATGCACGACCTCCCGAGAATGTCAATCCGACCGACGGGGTAATTAATCATGACAGCGTGTCACTCCAGTCTGGACCAACTGCCACTCGGCGGCTGGAAAACTGTGAGCGGCCCTGGGCCACGGCAGCATTGACAAGGGATGCGATAGCTAGGGTCGGGCATGAGGTTGGGAATATGATGGTGAGTCTCCGTCTTACCCAGACATGGGCTGCATCGCCTAATGCATGCAGTGATGGGCACTCCTAGCCATGCCAGTGATTGATGCAGCTCGCACGCATCTCCCCAATGGCCATTGATGTATACTTTATTTGAAACTGGGTGCTGTATGCTGCCCACAATGCCGGCACCCGACACAGATTGAGATAGCTGAAAAGCCAGCCAAGCCGTGACGTGACGTGTCGGTATGGTGAATAGACGTGAAAAGCCGAGTAATGGCGAGTTTCAGACTAATTACTTGACCTACAGCAGTGAATACTCGACTTGGTTACCAACAATTTTAATCAAAGAAGGTTTGTTATGCATCTACATTGGTATGGACTGATAATAAGTAAATTACAGTGGGTTATATAATGCGAAAGACATCTTATTACAGAAGTTATTTCATCTTGGGCTGGCACTAGTCTGTAGTATAATCTCTGGTTAGAGATACGGTGGCAAATAATAAGGGGTCAATTATTATTCCACGCTCAAGACCACTAACTTGTTCTATTTTATTTAGCCTCTATACTAATCTTGTTTTAATACTATAAACGCGTGATTCTGCATAAACTAAGAGGAGCCATAAATTTACTTATTACTTGCATGATTTCGCGTAAACTAAGAGGAGCCACAAATTTACGCATTACTTGCATGATTCAGCACAGCATGATTCGTGATTCGTTTTAGTTTATGCAGAATCCCGCCTTTACCCTGCTTAGGCTTACCAAAAGCTAGTTTCTTACTTTATATATTTATGCATTTAATCATTTTACAAGTCATGCCAGATATAGTTATCAGACAAGATACATTTCAATATGTGCGTACCAAGCGGCCGCCTTGCCTAATACCTGGGTACAAACTAGAAGACGAGGCTCATGTATATTTTGACACTATGCTACTAATCTTAGTTTAGAGGCTGTGCGCTCCAAGAATTTATGCAAATAGTACTTAGTAATCACCTTCGATTGAGTATTTATATCGAGTAAATTCTCTACATTTATTTACTCTTCAACCACCCACTTTTACATTCCTTACTAGAAACATATACTGCTACTCTTACTACAATCTACATCATCAAGGCCCAGGCCGACAAGATGAAGTACCTCAACATCCTTACGGCTTGCGCCGGACTAGCTATAGCCGTGCCAACCCTCAACCCTCGACAATCTGAGATCGACGAGGCCGACAAAATTTGCAAATCCCGTGGGATAACTAAGGACCAATGTCACGTTTATAAGCAGCATTGCCAGTTTATAGAGGGCATTACGGAGCCTGATCAATTGAACTACTGCGTGAAAGTTCTCGGAACCGACTGTAAGGATGATGGCCAATGTGGTCAAGGGTATGAGTGCAGAGAACATCGTTATAGACCCAATCAACGTACCTGCTATCCGAAAAAGAAACAGTCACAGGCCGGGAAGCAGGAGTCAGCTTCTTCTACCAAGGAGCCGACACAGGATAACAAGCAAGATTCAACTTCTCCTGCCAAGAACCAGACACAGGCTAGGGAGCAAGAGTTAGCTTCTCAACAAACTGAGATCAACAAGATCGAAAAAATTTGCCAAAAACGAGGGCTCACCAAGGGCCAATGTCTCACTTATAGATCGTATTGCAAGGAGAATATGGGCATTGTGGAGCTTGATCAATTGAAGCACTGCGTCGAAGTTCTTGGAACCCCCTGTAGGGGTGATGACCAATGTGGTCATGGATTTGAGTGCTACAAAGAGGCTTCTGCACCCTATAAAGATGGGGTGTGCGATACAAAACAGTCACAAGCTGGGGAGCAGGAGTCGGCTTCTACTGCCAAGAAGCCAACACAAGATACGACTACAAATATCGCAACTCCTACCAAGGAGCTAACACAGGATACGACTATAAATATCGCAGCTCCTACCAAGGAGCCGACACAGGATACGACTGCAAATATCGCAACTCCTACCAAGGAGCCGACACAGGATAACAAGCAGGATTCCACTTCTCCTGAGACCGACGAGACCGACAAAATTTGTAAATCCCGTGGGATATCTGAGGACGAATGCTCGTATTTGACGAGGATATGCCAGGATGTTGTCAAAGGGAAGCCTGATCAATTTAACCACTGCATGAAAGTTATCTTGACGTCCTGTGATAATGATAACGAATGTGATGCTCATGGATTGGCGTGCCTAGAAACTTCTCTTAAAGGCTCTCAACGTGGTGCCTGCTTTCCGAACATACAACCAGAGTCACAGGCCGGGAAGCAGGAGTCAGCTTCTTCTACCAAGAAGCCGACACAGGATACGACTACAAATATCGCAGCTCCTACCAAGGAGCCGACACAGGATACAACTAAAAATGTTGCTACTCCTACCAAGGAGCCGACACAGAATACGACTACAAATGTCGCAACTCCTAGCCGTCCGTGTACCAAGAAGCCGATCAAGTCGAGCGAGAAGAATTCCGTTGTTGGGGCAAAGTCTACCCAGGCCTAGACATACAATGCGACTGACGAGTCCATATTCTCAGGCTATGATAGCTAAGGGCGCTTTCCTATTGCCATCGCAGCTTGGGAGACTCACGCATTTGGGACAGAAGCGTATGGAGAAAATGGCTCATTGCAGGGCGGATAGGCGGAACTGGATGCCTGGGTACGCGGCAGCAAAGTGAAGGCCCAAGAGTACGTTCGTACTGTAGTAGCTACTTTATAAAAACCGTTGGTGTCGGCTCTGATTCCCCTGCTTGACGTGTACAATTGCAACATGACTGTAGGACCGGAACCGGAGAGGACGAAGCGTCAATCCTTCTCTAGTATGCTAAGGGACCCCGGGTACAGTCGCCAAGGCCTCAATCGCCTCTTTCCTGGTCGACAAGAGGACCGCTACTGTTATAGTCGTATGCGCACTTGCCAGGTTCACCAGCGCAGACTATTGTGTCTCTTTCTTGGGGCAAGGCGCCGACAGAAGTGACAACTTGGCCAAGCTTGTCATCTTGAGTGATATATCCTTGGTCTAATGAATGCCCCTTGCATATCGGTAATAGAACCATCCTACTGTGTTATGTGATATGGCTGAAGATGTACGAAAGTAATCCAAATATTGGTATAGCCCAGCCAAGTGTAACGCCTCAGGTAAAGTCTCGCAGCCTCCAACAATCAGCGTGGCATTTGCGTTGTGACAGCTTATGCTTGGTTCGTACTTGTATTTGCACCCGGGTAACCAGCACCGGCGTCGACGGCGGCCGTGGCCTGGTGGTCCGTCTCCGCAACCAAGGACGGCACGGATTGGTTAGCCATTATGCCCTTCAAGTATAGCGGTGGTGTCCGAGAGACGTAAAAGTCCGTGTATTGGTCGGCGAGTGTATTGAGTAATGAAGAGAGACGAGAGGTTTTTTGGGTCGAGTTGGAACCGAGGGGCCAAGGTCAATTTGTTCCATATTATGCGTATGTATATAAATAATGAGTTCGAGGTATCAAGTCTTGTAGAGTGAGGTTTGCCTTGCGCAGTGACTTGTGTCTTGTGTGTCTGGAGCGGTGGACCAGTGGTGCCTCTCCCAATGTCGCCTTGCCCGACTATTACAGAATGATGACAACTCCCAACCAACAAGGCTCGACTACATGTCCTCGACCCATACCGGCCGAGGATATGTGCGGGGCCGTTGAGCTGACGCACTGTGAGACAAGGGCTAATGTACGTGCGCCATCGTGATTTGCGTGCCTGCTCTGCAGTACTAGACAGGATATAACCACCGACTTGGTGCCATTGACAAATCATGATGGAAACTGCACGCCGTCATCAGCCCTTGCTATGCTGCCCACACTCCCAGGCAGACATGACTGATCAGCAATGCGACGACGTTCTCCGCAGCCAAGTATACAACAAGTTGCGATGCAAGTTTCGCCCAACGCCAACTCAACGTGCTTGTGCGGCTGTCATGTCCAGAGACATCTTTTCGGCGCATTAGGCTTCCGACATGCGCAGCATTGTGTGGTATCAACATCAAGTAGATTGGAGGAAAAGAATCCCTGCCTTGGCCGGCCGAGCTTCGACTCCATGGAAACCACCGAGGCTCTCATATGTACGCCTGATCGGAGGCGACGAGCTGTCGTCCAATTTACTCGATGGAGCGGCATTTGATGGATTTAGGATGAGGACTATGGCGGCTATATGAAAAGCATGGTACCGCATACACGCGCTCATTAGACTCGCCTTCGCAGGTCGTCGAGTTCCTAGATGTATATTTAACGAGAGGTGACTTGGTGTACAAAGTCTATGCTGACGCTTACATCCACTGTTCGCATATCGTGCAATCGCTGGCAACGGAACTGTTTGGCTCCTGGTTAGTTCAGATGCTCTTGAGTAGACACGGGAAGGAGTCTGCATACGTGAGGAATAACATGCTAGTACATTTGTCTTCTATCAAAGGCAACGAAATCGTTGCGCAAATATCGTCTTGGTAAGTCTCGCCCTGGAGTATGTTAGACCTGCTCTGTGGGTATTGCACGAGGAAATGAAGGGGTTGGTAATACAATGGCTCTTGCAGTATTGGCAGTGGTGAGGAGGGTGATTAGCGGGAATAATAGAGGAATGCATCTTGTCTGCTTGAGGCCTGGTTATTTTCTTGTCTTTTGCTGCGGTGGAATATTAGTATCCGGCAATTAAGTTGACAGCGCTCTTTTAGACTTTTCAAGAATGCAAAATGCATAGGCCAATCAATACAATAGTACGAGGTTACTCTGTCTATGTCCAAGGTACAATTTGAAGCATGTCAAAGCTCCTCTGTTTCCCAAGAGCACGAGAGGGATCAGTGACGACTATACATACATGAAGGGCACGTCTGTGCCCAGGGCTCTTGCCGGGGACGTGTTGAATCTACCGGATACCATGTTGCAGATATTGGGTGTCGGCGTCCATCCACGCGTCCTTCCACAATGCTGTGCTACGCATCGTGCAGTGTTGAGAAACGGTAACGAGCCGTACTACGGCTAGGACAGAGACATTGCTGACCTGTAGAATAAAGAGCCCTGTTGATAATAGTTGTCCGGATATCCTTGCGTCCACCGAAGGGAATCAGCGTCATGGTCGTTACTTGGTGCTGGCGTCACGTTAGTCGACTCGTAGATGTCGTCGTAAATTTTTCATAGTATGTCAGTAGCCTATTAATGACGGAATAGTCTCCCCGAGAGCAATTAACATACCTCGATTAGAGTCAAGAAATAATTCGCACTCAAGAGGCCAATGTCCACACCAGTCGTTTCTGCGAGCTCTACGTTGTTGAAAGAGCAAGACTCGGCCGCCAAAGCAGAGGACAAGCTAGTTTCCACGCCAATGAGAACCAGAGGGAGCTGGAAGTGCAAATTAAATGCCATTATAATCTATTTCCATCTGAAACCAACACTCGCGGCATCGGCTGCAGTACTCTATCTTTGTAGGAATATTGGGTAGATTACGTCAACTACTTAGTTACTGCAAATTTGTATTTTCACATCTTCCATAGGGGTCCGCCTGTATAAAGCCCAACTTCACATGTGCAACTAATATCCACTGCCCAGGTACTCCCAGAGCCACTCGCGCCGCGGATACTATACTATCGTATACTCATGCTTCCCTGGTGCCGAAGCCGGGGATTCGTCCAAAGGTTTCAGCAAGAATTCCACATCGCCGTGATGCCCTAGACTCCCCGAAAGCTGCCGGTCCTGTCGACTCCAATCGGTAAGGCGGTTGATGAGGTCCTCAGGCAGTCCCCGGGCATCCCTCAGAGTCAACGAAGAACCAGCGCAGGCATCCACGCTGCCAAAGTAGTTCCGATGGGCCCAGGGGTCCGGCGAAAGACCACTGCCGTTACAATCGGTGTTATCAACGCCCTTGCAGATGGCCGTCGTTGAGGGTTGCCACACGGTCTGGACATCGCCGCCCGGCCGCCAGAGCTCTGGGCTAATGTGGTTATAGCCGAAGACGAGAGGAGGAAGACGGGGAATAGGGTCATCCCCGTTAGTGACGCGCCATTGGACGCCCCGTTGTGTAAGGAACCATGTTGCGAAGTTTTTATTACCGACCCGCGGGGAGCCATATGTGTACAGGTCAACGGCGAGACCGTCGCGACGAAGGTAGGCTGCGCTGAGAGTTGCGACAGCGGCCCCGAGAGAGTGCCCAGTGGCCACGACCCTGAAATTCGGGTTACTTGAGCGAGCAGATCTCACAGCCTTGGTGATGGCGTCACTAATATCGTACCAGGCTTGAGCGAAGCCGGTATGGAGTTTACATCCCTGTGTGAGGTTACAGTCGCTCCAGGCAAAGGCAAGGTCAGCGATGAAGTTGCGAATATTGTTGCTGCCACGGAAGGAAAGGACAATTTCCCTGCGGACATAATCAACAGCTACGTACGCGCCGACTCCGAGGGCGTCGCCACTGCGATTGTGTCAGAATAAACATTTAAAAATAATTGCTCAAGGAGATAGGGCTGATAGCTGGGAGGCTTGAGCCGGAAAAAAGAATAGGGGGACCTACATGGCCGACGCCACCACAACAGGCTGATTTCGCATGACAAGTGGACAGGCGTTATTTTGGCACGTAATCCGCGTGCCTGGAGCGGCATTAAAATTGCAGTATGCGGCGGCAGCATGCTGGGAGTAGAACCTGATGGCGCTGAAGTCTCTGTTAGAGATACGCTCTGTTCCCGCTTGAAGATGTTCTGTTAGTCAGGGTTAAGCATTATAGAGGGACTTCAAGTGTCGACGAACCTCTGGTTACTAGAGCCTTGGTATGATCAATGGCAGTAAGCTGAGCAGCTGCAGTGGCTACAAAGCCCAGAACCGTCTTAAGCAGCATGTTAAAAATCAGAGTTGATAAAGAATAATATTCCCAAGAAGTATCTGATAATCTGATCGAGGAGCTTGTTCTGGCGCAACAAGCTGTGGAACCGAGGGTTCTTCTTGTCTGTTGTTTTAGAAATCTATTATCCATGGGAAGCATATCGATCTTATATTCCTCATTCCCCTTCTGTGGTTTGTTTCTCCATCACCAGTTTAACCAGCGGGTACCGCGCACAACTATCGTTGTCTGACCATGGCGGAGACGTTGCAAGACCAATAACCCATTAAAACCTGCAGCTGACTTTGACGGATTAGTGTTGATGCACGGCGATGACACAAGTTTTCTAGCTTCACATCCTTCCTGTCTAGGCCTGCCGTGTTAGCATGCATCGGTAAGACTGAAGGATCGCTCCCACGCTCCTCTCTTACTACAAGCCCCGGCTTATGCTGAGAAGTATCGAACGATGCAAACAATTCGCTAACCCCAGCCTCGGTTCTTGTTGTATGTAACGGCAACGTTTCCTAGAAAGAAATAAATGGCATGCCAAGATGGGCTTCGGCGGGGGCCTAAAGCCCTAAATGGAAGGTCGGTCCGTTTGCCGTGCCAGTGTTAAGTAGTGGATCGTTAATATTACCCAGAGATAGCCGTTTGGTCGCCCTCGTCTAGTTGAAAGGTAATTTACTGCGAAACAAGAAGGCAGCAAGTTTAACGAAAATTCGTAAAATAATGCAAGCGTTGGAAGCATATTACTCGGCCTGAGAAGCGTAATTCACGGCAACGCTTGGAGCTAACGCAAAATCAAAAAGAACCAGACGCTTCTTCAGGAAGGGCCAAACGAAAAGAAGCTACAAAGAGTTTGCTACAAACACATAAAGGTCTGCCCGTCCCGGCATTGCGAGCCACGAGGCATGGCTACTTGGCAATCCGGTCCTAAAGTGCGTAGGGCGCTGGATAGCAGAACTGTCAAGTCGGGCGGGCAAAAGAGAGAAGAAAAAAGAAAAAAAGAAAACATACAACACTGGGTATTCGCTAGTCGTCACCGACCTAGCTACTAATCCAGCGCTCACTAGGTTGTCGTGGGAGATCGGACGGGATCCTGAACTTTGCTAGCGGCTATGGTCGTATGTGTCAGGACGGGGCTTTATTTCACATTATAACCTACACTTTTACGTATGCACGTCCCCGCGTATTGCTCTCACAACAACATGGCAATGAATGCACTTGGCATGCTGCTCATATCTCTTGCATGGTACCTGCCGCAGACCACGCAGGGTATGGCGCGGGGGCGGGGAAGGCCAGCCCCAACCTTGTCCATCCAAACCCTCGTATGCCACACCCACGATCCATTGCACGCCGTGGGTAATGGGTTGGACGACAACGCCCGTAACTCCTTTAGGCAAGGCGTCCCGCTCGGTTGGTCGCCGACGGGAGGATCCGCCTGTCAAACTCGCAACGGGCGGGAGCTTAATAAACCTTGAATCCGTGCTCGAGGAAGGACCGAGCAACAGCGTCAGAACGGTCCAAAATAGGAAAGAAGAAAAGTGAGCACAATAGTATCGCTGCGGTCGGAGCAATTCTTCACTCTATTGGAAACAAACTGCCCAGATGACCCATCATCTGGCCTTTGCAGGGATACACGTATCCATTGGCTCCCGCAACGACAAGCGGTAGGGGAGGCCCGTCCTACGATGCAGAGAAAGAGTGACTGCAGCAATGCATGCAGTGTCTGTGGTCAGTACAACTACTTGTCCATCTTTCATACCTCTTGCTCCAGATGGCATGATTGGGCGACTTGAGTGTGGCCAAGTACTTGCAGCCCTCTACTGCAACTGCGCACCCAGGTAGGTCGCTTTTTGAACGGTGCCAAGTACTCCGGAGTCCGCACCCACGGAGCCAGCTTTGTTGTCTCTTCCCTCCGCAACTTCTCGTGTGTAAAACCACGCACGCCTCATTGCGCACAAGGAGCTTTGACCAGCGGCATAACCACTTGGTCAATGCAGACATGCCCCGTCTCGGCGCGTCTTCAATTGTCGTCTGTGCTCGTGCTTATCCCAACGGCCCATTTGAGAATTCTACGCCCTCGCCGGCAGACACCGCACGTCTAGACCATCATGTCAGCCCCCAAGCACAAGAAAATGCGTCACCTTGCGTTACTTGAGTGGTGGTTTATTTTTTCCTTTTCGGCTTCTAGTCTGGAAGCTCGCTGGCCAGTAGAGCAGCCACTCACGCCTTGCGCCGTGGCGTCGGTGAACCTCGCGCGAACTACGTGCAGGGACTGGCTCCTGAGAATATCAGCCCAACCGCTCTTTAGCATGGCACGGTGCAGTACTACTTTTTACCGAGTGTTTAGGTCGAGACGCCACTGGCTGGCGCGAACCACTGCCCAAGCCCCTGGGAAGCGCGGGTTCGAGACTACAATGATGCGTGTCTCACCGGCCGTGCTCAGTACTGCAGTTGACTCCGGTCTGGTAGCTCACATCGCATGTTGCAACTGTAAGTCATCCAATTCAGGGCCCATCCTCTGCATCACGGCACCGCCCCAAGCGACACAGGCGCAGTTTTGCATCTGGATTGGCCCCGGTACGTGACATGGTGATGCGAATACGTGCGTGGGACCAGGGCAAGCCGACGTGTTTGAAATTGACGGGCAGAATGGCAGCCCGGGTCACAAACTTCTTTGCTCCTGGAGCGTATCCGATGCCATGTGAGCTTTTGGTCCGCCCGTCTTGTCTCCAGCACTCTTGCGCGACCGGCCGTGGCAACGAGTTGAGCTGCAGCTGCCGCAGCCTCGTTCCTCACAACCCGCCAGGAGTGAGCCACAGATGGCAAATCGATTCATTGCTGGAGGAAATTGCTCGGCTTACCGAGGCTGCTGCCCGAAAAACTTGCCATTAGCTATCCTGGTGCTGTTGCCACGGTGGATGGATCGCGCGCGCGCGAGTCTCATGCATTGTTGTCATGTGCTGCTGGGCATGTAGACGATCGCAGTCTGCATCCTCCTGCATCCTTTTGTCTTTTGTTTTTCCTCTTCCCTTTATCTTTCTTTGATAATCCCTGTAACCGCGTCATCATGCATCCCCGTCGCCTTTAGCGTTGACAATGGTAAGGCAGTCTGGCCCAGGCAACACACGCACAGCTTGATAGTTTGTGCAACAGGGCCATAACGAAATCCTGCGTGTTTGCAAAATCCACCTTGATGATGCTGTTTGCATACACCCCTCATCGCCGACAAGTCAAGTTGACCGCCAGCCTCTCTAGCTCAGCATGTGTGCAGACTCCAGAGTCTCCGCCATCCCAGTTCTCAGTCGACTGTAGACAAGAACAGAGCATTGCGCAGCCTCTTCACTCCCAATTTACGTAATTAGGCATGATTAAATTTGGCATAAGGCTGTCCAGTCCCGTCCAAGCCTGGTAATCGACACGGTGAGCGGGTAAACTAGACAAGAGGCACAACAACCATCAAGCTCCTGTGAAAGACGTCTCCCAATGCAGCCAACGCAGCCAACGAGGCTTGGCGGAGCCGCTCGGATGCCTGGTCCCTTTGTTTCTTAGACTTTGGACCAAGCCGGCTGGCAAAGACGCCCTATAATGTGATGCCACATTCTTGATGGGCGTTTATCATGTACCACATCCAAGGGCGTGACCACGCGCTGTACCAAGATGGTCTGACGCGCTGCAACTCGCGCTGCAACTTGCTCTGCAACTCGTTCTGCAACTCGTTCTGCAACTTGCTCTGCAACTCGTTCTGCAACTTGCTCTGCAACTCGTTCTGCAACTCGTTCTGCAACTTGCTCTGCAACTCGCCCTGCAACTCGCTCTGCTCGTCTACCTGCAAGGGGCGTCGCAGTCGATCTCGACAACCCCAATGGCTAATCATCCACGCCACGCTTCACCTTGCTGTCTTTGCCTTCTGCAATATCTTGGCCCCCAAGCCCCTTGTAGGGCGGTCCATATTGCAACGTCTTCGTCCACTGCGCATTTCGGCACAGGAAGAAAAAAAAATAATTCATCATCTCAATTAAACAGAAATCAAGTCCGTAGAAGATGTTTAGCTATACATTACGCTTCTCTCCGAGCTCCATGTACATGATTCCTGAGGCAGCTCACACACCCCTTTCGCCCATTCAACAGCCTTCCTTTGCCGCACCCTAAATCGCCTCTTCAAGAACCATGGCCACAAATACCTCACTGATGGGCAGCTCCTCCCGACGGGTCTCATCGAGGTATCTGGCCAGCATCACTCCGGTAGTTGGCCGCCGGCCGTTGTCCCGGTTTGCATGCTTACGTGACCTAGAGTAAAAGTGGCAGACAATATGAGTGAATCTAGATCATCTTGGTACTCGGCCTCGTTGAATCGTGGTACGAACCTTGCTGCGGAGTCACGCCGCGGGCCAAGAGTTGGGGTTGTGTAACTTGCTGCCCTGGCGGTGCTACTACCGATCTCAACGGCAACGGACGAGATGGACCGGGAGGCCATTTGGGGATTGCGAACAGCAATGACGATGGAATCAATAAAACTGGCGAGGAATACGTCGACTCACTCCGGGGCGACATATGTTGTTGGGAAAGGAGAGCCCCAACGCTTTGGCTTCGACGGCCGGGCAGCCCAGCATTTTATACCGTCAGGTCGAATCACCACATATACGGAGGAGGGGGCGGTGTCCGTCTTGCCCAGGCAGGATACGAACGGACCACCATAACGGCTAAAGGTAGGAATCGTCAGTGCAGCGGAAATCTAGAAAAAAGAAGCTGCACCTAGACCACCCACCACGTCGCACTTTTGCCAAATCCCCTCCTTGCACACCCCATGGGTTCAAACCTAGTCCCATTGTCAAATCGGAGGGAGGGCATGGCGTTACACGGTTCCAGATCCGGCCATTGTCCAGCGTTGATTTGGCAGAAGGACAAGCGGCTCCGCGAATACCGTCAGCTTTCCCACCCTCACACCCCACCGGCACAGAGGTGGAAGACGTCCGGCTTCGGGTACCTGGCTTTCAGTGGGTAGGAGAGAGTCGATAACATCCAACCGTTCTGGCCTTGGCTAGCAGTCACTTGGCCAGGGGAGAGCCAATCGGTTCCGAACTAGCCAGCAATCACACGCACAGAGGTCGTACCAGGATGTATGTTGTGCTACTGCCCGCTCCGTCACCACATGATTCCCTCTGGCTGTCTTATGACGAGAAGTCAGCCTCACTTCCTGACCGATGCTGCGCCAGGAGCAGAGGACGGAGGATCTATGCATCATGCCCTTTTAACAACTCGAGAAGATCCAATCGAACCGGCGGGCCTTTTGCGCGTACGGCAGAATATGAGATCTGAGCTACTGGGTCATCTCGTACATGGACAACCACAGTCACACTGCAGGCTGCAGGTGGCCAACGTTTGCCCTGCGAGGGCATCGTCATGTCTCCTACACGGTCTGATGCCCAGGGAAACGGCTGTGTTGGCCAGAGATATTCATTGGTTGTATGAGCTGTTCTGTGGCAGAGGCATTTATGTACACCGATGAAGTATGACGGGAAGCGTGTTGTGAAGAAGGTGCCAGTTGGGAGATGCATGGCCCAAGTAGCTGTTGGGTCAACGACGAGGTTCGCATGGATGCAGAACTTTGTAGCTCGCCTCATTTCTAAACTTTCAGGGTATTCCGCAAAACCTGAACGTATGGATGCTCACAAAAAAGAAGGGATGCACACTGCTCACCGCTGACAAAACACTCGTGGGAGCCATTCTGCACTGCCCTACTTGTTTTCTCTTCCCCGGAATCATCCTCCCTACATTCGTTTCGTCACACCCATACGCTTATTTTGGTCGTCGTGGGCCCTTGGGTAGGAACATGAGTAATCGACAGAAAGACCACCCGGGCACAGACCCCTGAGGATGGCACGCGTCGCCGAAGTGAAGTGATGAAGAACGTGTTCCGTATCCGCCATGCAAAATGCATCCTGTACGATCCTCTCCATGCTTTTGTGTGGACATCCCCCATCCCGACAGTATACTGGGCGATGATTCCAAAAGTCGGCGTATAAATTTCGTGGTTATGTGTGCAGCCAGCCCCCGTGCCATGGCTATAGGGACTTACTTGATGACAGGTGCTCTGCAATTTGCGGGCAGAGACCAGGGTGGCATACCAAGATGCCGGATGCTGCAAAGCATTGCCATCGTCACCACTTTTACCCTTCACCGCGGTGAGGTATGTATTATATTTGAGAGGCACAAAGGAAGATGCACCATGCCAGTTGGGCCCGTGCTAAAAAGCCCCAGGGAAGCCAGAGATGAATACAGCCTTCAAAACACGACAAAGACGTGACGTATGCACGTCAACACGTTGTTCACTACAAGCGAAGAAACTGCCAGCCTACACTGCCGAAACAAGCATACGTACGGCGCTAAAACTATCCCACGGAGAGATGATGTCGCCAGAACCGGTGCTACGGAATACAGCCCGTGTCATTGCCAACGTGGCCATCATGCCAAACTAACCGACTGCCGCACTCCATCTTCAATCTGACAAGGGACCATCTACGCTCCGAAGCACAAGTACACGGGGCTTGCCCGCCCAAGAACGGACCCTCCTCCGAACCCTGCCTCCTTCCGTTCCCAGAGTCCCCGTACCCATGGGTGCCGCCCTACCGGCCCCACCGCGGAGGTTGTTTCAACCCCCGGTCTTGGCGTCCCCTGTTTCCAGAGTGCGCCCGTAGTAACTACACACCCGACGGGCCGGTGCTCGATTCCGGCCGGGACATGTTCGTCGAGCAGGATGAATCCCAAGCTCCCGCTTTGCGATTTCACCCCTTTGCAGTTGTGTATTCGGCTCCGTTTGCGCCCATTTCGCGACACCGCTATTCCGTCTGGCGCGTACGTCTCCCGAGCGGCCGGGCCAAACTACAAGACGGCCGGCGTGCTTCCCGGGCCGTACCATCGGCCAGTGCTCCGGACGATAGCAGGGGTCCCCACAGCAAGCAAGCAGCGTCGTCTTTTCCGCCGTCTGAGCAGAACCTGTATTCGGCACCGGGAGTATTTCCATCTCGGTGCCCGGCGTCGCCATGCCTCGCCACAATGGGCAGCAGCCAGACCCGGCCTTGTACACGGGCCCAGTAGTCCAATGGCCGTCCGCCAGCCACGTTCACAAAGTTGTGCTCGTCCGTGGGCCTCGAGGTCTCGCGATGCGGTCCGTCGCCCGGCCCTCAGCTCCATGGCGTAGATGGCCCGCCAACACGTCCTCTGAACAAGGACGTACTATTTACGCACTCCTCGTCAACGGTGGTCTGCCTGCCTGCACTACTCGCCAATTCTCAACGCGTACCCTCCCGGCTGTGGATCAATTTCCTTGGTTGGCGGACACGCTTGACCCGTTGTATGTTGACAGTGTGTACATTTTCCAACTACCGCATTATTAGCGGAGAGTGCGATGACGGCAGCGGGATGTTTCTTTTGACCGTAGCTTGTCGGGGCGTGGTTGCGCTGACGGCAGCAATCTTCTGCATTACGCTTGATTTGCTTCGGGGCGGCCTGGGGTTGGACACAATCACAGCCAAGCGCATCAAGTCGTTGGCGCCTGCTTCGGTAGCCATCTTGAGCGAGGATGGGCAAGGACCCGGCGATCCAGCCCCGCAACACCGGAATTGATGCCCGCGACGGCGTATTCGATGCCTCTTGCACAGCCAGCTCTTGTTAGACGAGGACGTTGCTGGAAGGGATGGATGTGCAAGTGTGAATCGAAGAAACAAGGCTGCTGCCACGCCTACGAGTTTTGTGCGACATGCTCCGCTCACAATGGAATCGGACGGACATTCTGAGACATTAGCCCAGTATGAGCATAATATCACCATTTGCCTCATGACAAGCCTCCCCTTCAAACTGTTGCTCCTCTAAAACAAAACGCCGTCTAATGCCATATTTCAAGTATGCTAAATGCCGATATCGCCGCCCATAACCAGCCCAGTGCATCGCTGTAGAATCCGCCACAAACGCCGTGCAAGCATCCTTACAATACCATCCTCAGTGCCTGGTGGCCAAGCATACTGACCAGCACCCCCACGCCATATGGTCCAGTTTGATCTGATTGCCCACTCCACACCTTGGATCCAACCCAGCAAATGGCCGCCAGTTCTGCGGCGCCGAGAGCCGATAATATGTAGGCTGCTGGTCCGGGCGTCCTGTTGCCAGGCGTATAGCTCGTGTCTCCAGTCCCGCGGAGAGCGATGACGCCAGCCACAAAGAGGGTTGTGAGACGCACTTCCCACACATAAGGCACATTTGCAAACATGGTCAGCAGCCATGCTGACAACAAGACCGTCAGAACGGTTGATTCGGGGCTGGGCTTGACGCTAGGTTGGGGCATGCTTTTAGCCGGTGCGGTTGAGCCGCTTTGTTCTGCCGCAGTCTCGGCGTCTTCTTCCTGTTGGTCCTGTCCCAGTGTGAAACTCTGGCTGAGCAAGTCTGCCAGGGAGCTAGCATCATGGTCTTTCTGCGGGGCAAAAAAACTGGGTTGCTTGAATTCAACGCCACCATTCGTGTCGCTGTCGAGGGTGGTTTGAGACGAGGTCGGCGGATGGCCCCGTCTTGTAAACATGACTTTGCCAGTTTCTGCAGCTTCATGCTTCTTTGGGGCCGGTGACCATTGGGGATTTCGCAGTCGTTGAGCCGGATTCACAGGGGCCGCTGGAACCTTGCACCAGAAAGGGTTCTTTGCCTCTGGCGATGACAGACGTTCATCATTCGTCCGCCCAAACTTGCTCGTCAAAGGCGTCGCGTTGTCGTTGAGAGCTCGGTGCGGTGATCTAATCGGCGACCAGTCCATTTCTTCATCATACTGCAGTTGCTCCGTCCGCTTTGTGGGGGTCTCGGCTGGTCTCACGCCGCCAAAGACTGGCCGCCGGCTGGTCTGGGGTCGCGAAGGGCTGAATGGTGATTGAGGAGACGGGGCCTGGTCGGTCATGGTCGACTTTTGCGGTGTTGCGTTTGCGGAATCAAGCGCATCATTGACTAGTTCAGAGAAGGTTTTGGAATCATCCTGTTTTCTCTGCTTGGGCGGCTTCGCTTCCCTCGGTACCAGTGGTCTGTCTTCTGTCGCAAACAAGGGCGAGGTGTCTACACGAATGGATCTACCTGCCAACACGTGGATCTGTCTTTGTCAGTAAAGCATCAACTATGCGCGGCCAAACAACTCACCACGGTCATGACCAGCGCCATGGCTACATGGGCGCTTAGTTTGGCTGTGCCAGAGCCTGCGGTTTGCGCATTCGCATCAACCACGCCGCGGAAGATGAACCGAAAGAATATGGTCAATCCCTGGAACGAGTACCACTGGGTAAATCCCAGCAGGTGCCTGGTGAATCCTCGATTCACCTGCACGAAATGCGGGTTCCACCACACCGCCAGGATAGCAGTCCAAATGCTCCATTGAATCAAGGTAGCTGCACTCGGCATAAAGCCAATAGCCAGCTTGAGCCATGAAATAGCCGTGGCATATACACTCTGATCGTCGGGATCATACATGCCATCATTGCTCTGCTGCAGTGCCTGCGTGATCATAACAAAATGCCACAACAATTGCAAAAGGAAGCTTGTTCGCCACAAGGTTTTCCCCAGCGTGTTTACCCAGTCAAGCGGTGTCCTCCTCCTGGTCCTCCGGCCCCGGCTCAAACTCATCATACGCCGTAAATGGTCAGTCTTGGCGGTGTAACCAGCTTGGCGTATCCTCTCCTCGACGCGTTCGGCGCAATCGCTACATACTTGCGGGTATCGTTTCTCGAGGTTCCGTCGGTAGCGGTAGTAGTTGCGCTCGAGCTCGGGGTAGTCGGGGTCTGAGGGGTCATCAGGGAAGTACTGGGCCAGTGACTTTGTGAACAAGTGCTGGTTCTTGAGGCATGTTTGACAGAAAATGTCGTCCGTTTGAGAAGGCGAGGGAGACTGCGGTGCGGCGTATTGGATGGCTGCTGCTTCATGCTCGGTTGCGACAGGGGGATCTGTGATTTCGCCATTCTATTAAGGTCAGCAGCATATACGACACGAAAAGGGGGCCAGACTTCGCCAGCTATCCTGTGCCATCATTGGGTACAGCGCACACCTCATCTAGATAGTTGGTTGCATCGCAATGCAAGCACAGAAAGTCGCGCGATGTGCCGTCAAACTTGATGCCCGGTCGCTTCCCACAGTAGAAGCAGGTCAGGAACTTTGCACGCCCAAAGCGCGCCATGGTGGCATGTCCTCGTTGGGCGGTACGAGAACAAGGTGCGCGCAGGAGCCAAGAGTCGTTGGAAATGTGTCAAGGCCAAGGTCTACGACGTAGGTCAAGCTGGGAGCGACGGTTTCTGAGATTTTGCCAAGGCGGTGAGAAGAATGTTGTGGACTGGTGGTGTCGCAGAACAGGACGGTGTACGGAGTACTTGCATTGTGGCCCCAGCGCTGCTGCCGACATCCATCGCGCTTGTGCGGAGTGTTGACGCGGCTACAGCTAGCGGCGTCTATTTGACCATCTATTACCAACATCACCACATCAGAATGCGCCTCTCTCCCTCCCGCGCCTACTTGCCGCTTGACACCAAGAATGACTTGAATTTGAATTAATTTTTAATTAATCAATACCTGAGAATAGCACAAATTAATCCACTGTATCTACTGCGTCTAGAATACCCATACGCCATGAACCGCGCGCCATCCTCAAACATGACTACCAGAGAAATGCAACGTCTATAAACACGCTGAAACGACAAATGCCCAATACCCGCTATACATCCTGCTCCATAAACCTCCTCACCAGCAAATTAAACCGCGTGTTCTTCCTCCTCACCACCTCCGGGCTCAATCTCCACAGGTACCTCTCCCGCGCGGCCTGGCTCCAGGCATGATAGGCCAACTGGCCGTGGAACAGCGCGCCCCCGTTCCTCTCAATCTCGCGCTCCCAATGCTCCGTCTCCCCCTCGCCGAGCTCCTCGTGCATCCACCCGACGTGCCTCCACGTCCAGGTCGGCCAGAAGAAGGCGCCCGGCGACAAGGCGCACAGCGCGCCCGGCTTCTTGGCCGCCAGCTCCTTGGGCAGCATGACGCTCTTGGAGGGGCTTTGGAGCCGCACCGGGCCGTGTATGTACTCCTCCAGCCAGTCGTTGATAAAGGTGCTGTTTCGGCGGGCGACCATGACGGCGTTGCGCATGCCGTACCGGTTGCCGCCCTCGTAGCCCAGCACCGCGTCGTGAGAGCCGGCGGGGTGGAGGAGGCTCGCAAACGGCCGGAGGGCGAAGGAGTCGGTATCGAGAAATATGCCGCCGTTGTCGAGCAGAATCTGCAGCCGCATCAGGTCTTCTATGCGGTGCATGGACTCGCCGTACGGGTTCTCGATTTTGTGTTCCACGAGGCGCACGTCGGCGCGGAGACGTCGGATCCACGGGTTTGTGACGGGGTGCAGCTTGGAGTTGACCGAGTTGCCGGACGGCGAGAGAATGGCGTAGTGGATCTGGATTTCGTCGGGGCGGAGGGATATCTTGGCGCTGCGCACCGCGAGGTAGTTTACAAAGTCGAACTGAATGCCGCGGGCTTGGGCGAGCGGTTCTTTGAAAATGTACAGGAAGTGCACGACGTTGGGGACATCGTGCGGGTTGGAGGTGTTTGAAGACTTGGCCGAGCCATGGAGACAGGCCAACTCCTGCTTGGTCGGGGTGAAGGGCTGCTCGATCTGACGCTGTGCCGACCACGGGTGTGTCTGGCGTGCGTACTCGATGAATTCGTAAAGGGCGGGCTGGAAATAATGCGCAAGGAGGATCAAGATGGTGATGGCGGATACGAGGGGCACGCTCCGATACGCTTTTCGGAGGAGCGGCCTTGCCCTCCGCGGAGAGACAACTTGTTTGAGGAGCATTGTAGATGCAAAGGACAAGATATCAAGCGAGTGGCATCTTGAGGAACGGAGGGAGATCACGGAGCACAGAATAGGGGTCGAGGGTTGAGCCAGCTTCGATTTCCGGTGAAGGCAACGTCCGACCGCACCAACTCGGTTGCATACAACGGGCACGGGGGCCAAAAACGTCGCTATGTCTTGGATCGGATTGCGCACTGACATGGAAAGGCGGGCGGTCTGCTCGGCTCTCTGTCCGGCATACATTGGGTCCTACTACTACTAACCATGTCTCGCTTTCTGGTTCTGGTGCGGGAGAAGATGCGACCCAAGTCGGATTGTACAGTACCCGGCAGCGACTACGCGGACGAGTCCCGTAGCTGGCTGCCAACGGGCGACTGTTCCTTGTTCCAGTTTCGTTTCCAAATATGTCTCATCCTGTGGGCACCGTCGGCGCTTTTGTGAGCTGGTGGCTTAACACCTTGGCTCCCGCGCTCGTCGGCCAATCACAGGCTCCTCTCGACGTCACCCCATCTCACTCACTCGCGCTCTCACCTCCGACCTCAACCTCACCATCACAGCATCAACCTCATCACTCTCGCCATCACTCTCGCAGACTCAACGCGGCCTCCGCCCTCGCGCCACTCTCAAACCACGAAATGCCGCCATGACAACCGCCGCGCGCATCCACCCGCTCCTCCTCACCATCCGCTTCTCCGCCTCCATCCCCGACCTGGACCTCGACATCCCATCCCCGCAAACCACCACCGTCCTCGCCCTCAAGCACCTCCTCCGCACCCGTCTCGCCACCCGCAACCGCCTCCGCCTCATCTACCAGGGCCGCCTCCTCCCGGACTCGTCGGCGCTCAGCTCCGTCCTCAAGCCGCCGCCTCCCCCGCCGCCGCAGCCACCCTCATCATCCAGCACCAGCGCCAAGGCCAAGGGCAAAGCCGTCGACGGCGCCCCCGCCAGGGTATACGTCAACTGCTCCATCGGCGACGAGCTCGCCGCCCAGGAACTCGCCGCGGAGGAGGCCTCGGCCGCCAACCCGCCGCAGGAGGCGGGCCCGGAGCCGCCCACCAACCCGGCTGGGCGCACGCGGCCCCGGCCCAGGGGGTTCGACCGCCTGCTCCAGGCCGGCTTCACGTCGTCCGAGATCTCCACCCTGCGCACGCAGTTCGCGTCCATCCAGACGGAGAGGTTTACGCCCGACTCGGTGCCCTCGCCCGACGGCTTGAGGCGCCTCGAGGACGCGTGGATCGACACCAACGCCGGCGAGCTGCCGAGCGCGGCGAGCCCGCTCGAGGACGAGCTGAGCAACATGTCCACCGTGCTGGACGTGCTCATCCGCGGCATGATGATTGGCTTCTTCTTCCCGCTGGGGAGCATCACGTGGTTGTTGAGACAGGGCCTTTGGAGCGAGAAGTGGCAGATCTTTGTGGGCTCCGGCGTCGTTTTGAGCGTCACGGTGGGCATTGTCATGGGTATATCGGGGGAGAGGTAGCATGGCGTATTTGGGTTTTTTAAGGGGGGGGTATTGACTAGGGCAAGTTCCGCTGAGGGTTACTGAAATTGAGCTTTGCAGCACCGTCAACATTGGGCTTCCCACGGTCCGGGGCCTGCATGTCGATTGTGCTTGTTTTCAAAATACACCTCTGCAGTCTGGCTATCCCGCCGCGGTGTGGTGATGCAGCAAAACGCGGCCAACTGTCCGACAACCACGTCCTGTTCCGCACGCATGATCGAGTTGTAACGCGGCCAGCCAAATCAAAGCCCAGTCGCAACAAATGCCATGGCATCGAGGGCCCGTAGGCCGGGCACTCGCTGCAGTTAAAGGCTCCTTGCCAGTGGATGATCCTCGGTCGGCGCTGCTCTCCATGGAGCGTGTAGCGGAAGTCGAGGGTTCCACCAGAACCTTGATTGGCAAACTGGAATGGTTTCCAGTAAACAGTGCAGTGTCGAACCGCAGACTCTGTGTCTTTTGTCGTGAAACATCTGGTATCGATGTTTTCCAATCCTCCAAGACGACACTCCTTTCCATGGCGTGCAGTTGCACGAGCCTCCAATTCGTCTGCAAGCTCCGATTTCAGTCATCCTTCCAGGGCTACAGAGTCAGTGATTAATCCAGGAGGCTTGGCGGGAAGTGACGCAGTGGTCTTCTATACGGTATCTTGAGCAGGGGCTTTACTCGACGCAAATCTTGGTCTGTAAAGTCTTTACGACGACGATATGGAGGAGCCAATCTAGTTACAACCCGCTCATTCATTCTTTGTTGCGCGGAAACCTTTGGGGTCCCAATTTGCGTCTTTGCTCGCCATGATGGCACTCTGTGCGAGTTCAAATCTCGACAAGCGGGCCTCCGTGCGCCCTCATTGAGCCAGGCTGGGGATATAGCTATAGCTCTCAAATCTCCCACAGCTTATTTAATAACTTGCCCTCCAGGGCCGTACCAGGGGAGCTTCCGCCTGCGGCGCTACTTGATGACCTTGTCGTGAGATTGAATATGTGAGGCTGCTAACGGCCAAATGGCTCCTGTAGACGGTACCCGAGGCCCTCAACACCAAGGCAGGATTACCATGATGGAAACAATACGTCCCGACATCAAAAGTTTAAGCCAAATACTAATTTCAGGTCCTCTAGGCCAATCAGTCAAGATCAAACTAGACGAGACCCCTAACAATGGTGACGCAATTCGTGGACTCTCAAAGAAGCAAAACCAAGGCTCTTCCACAGCTTCACTTAACAAGCACACCACACGGCAAGAATGCCGCATTATATTCCAATTACTACAACTAATCGAGCCAAGTGCCCCCTTTTTACACTCCAAAACTCCGTTCCAATGCCTACGCCTACTATAAACAATGCCGAGAATGTTTAAAGGTACAAGCTCTGCGCAGCCACAATGTCCCTCCTAATCTTCTGCAAACTCTCGTCAAACTTCTTCACAAGATCCTCATTGCCCATGACCTTGGCTGCCTCCCCCATCTGACGCAGCAATTCTTCCAGTCGTCGGAAGAGACGAATCAGCGAGCCTTCGTAGGTTTTTGTCATTTTGCTACGGGATATTAGCTTTGTATTTGTGAAAAAAAAAAAAAAGGAAAAAGAAAAAAACGTACCAAATCTCGATAAACGGCCTGCCCTGAGCCCAGGCGTAGACCGTCTCCATCAACTGCCACTTGAGACTCGTCACGTATTCCTCCTCGTTGACATCGAGCTTGCACTCCTGGCTGACCTTGGCAATGATGCGCGCCTTGGCCTGGATCTCGCGGTACGGCTTCTGCAGGTCCTCCTTGAGAGCTTGCGTCTCCACCTTTTCGTCAAAGATGAAGCAGCTGAGGACGGCGGCGCACGTCTCGGGGGACAGTTCGTTGAAGAAGCGGTCAAACAGGAGCTCCGAGAGCAGCAGCTCGTGGCCCTCGGTGGACGAGATCTCGCAGGCAACGCGCGCCTTGAGCTGCACCACTTCCGACTCGTTGATGAAACCTAGTCTGCGGAGAACACGCTTGCGCGACTTGAGTTCGTCCATTTGCGCGATACTATGGGCTTTGGAAATAGCCTTCTTCTTCTCCTTGACTTTATCTATGAGCTGCACCTTTTCGCTGTACTGGTCCCAGAGGGACGGGAGCATGGGCGACATGTGCAAGGGGTTGGCGAGGAGTCGGGACTCGAGCACCTCAATCTTGCGCAGGAGTTTCTTAAACGAGTCGTCGACAATCTCCATGTTCTCCAGGGGGTCCAAAATGGGGATGCCGTCGGTGAACCGGCGCTTAACCTCTGCCAATGACTTGCGTGCTTGGTCTTTGTCCGCATCGGCCTTCAGACCATCCTTGGGCATGAAGATGCGGATCTGACTGATGGCTTTCATGCACGTAAGTAGGCAGGGTATTACCACATTGATTGTAGCAGTGTCTGCGGTGTCTGCGCCAGCAGGTTTGAGGCCAGGCGGCATGGCTCCAGTCGGCTGGCCAGGAGTAATGTCGGCACTTGATGCCGAAATAGGTAGCATAACATCAATGATGTGCGATTCCTGCGGTTCCCACTCGGGTTCACCAAGTCTGGGCGCCCGTCGAGGATAGTGATTGACGATGACACCCCATCCAAAGTCGAGGCCTCCTGTAACGTTATCATGAGCTTCCTTGGGGTTGTATATCTGCACCAGGCGTCCTGGCTGAAGAAACTCTATGCAGTGGGTGGGCTGCTGGATGACGGCCCGCATGTCTTCAGTATACGAGTTGAGTTGCTGTCGAATCTGGTAGTAATCCTTGATTGTCGCCTCGTCGGGTATGGAGAGTCCGTCTCGCTCTTGTTGCAGCGACATCAGTTCCTTCTCCAACGAGGGGACGCTGGCGGCATTCTGGAACTGATGGAAGCACCTTTCAAGCATAAATTCGGGTGAAATCGCCTCAATTCGCAGCAGGTTGAGAATCATGTTGTATCCTAGGTAAAATGCGGAATTGAGCTTATCCTGGTGACCCGTCACAATACCCTTGGCGGTATCCGGTTCAAGCTTGTCGTCAATCATCATGATGACCACACCGCGAGCATCGAGACCACGACGTCCAGCACGACCCGCCATCTGAATGTACTCGGACGACGTGATAGGCCGTCTCTTGACACCATCCCATTTGGTGACTTGGGTGAAGACGACCGTTTTGGCAGGCATGTTTAATCCAATGGAGAAGGTCTCGGTGGCAACGAGAACTTTAAGAAGAGACTCTTGAAACAAAATCTCAATGGTTTCCTTTAGAATCGGCAGCAAACCTGAGTGATGCACGCCAACGCCTCGCTCCAGAAGAGGAAGCAAGTTCTTGATTTGAGGCAGTTCTCGATCTTGCTCCGACAAACTCTCAATGGCGCTGTGAAAAACCTTCCTCACCATGGCCTTTTCGGAATCGTCATTGAACGACAGGCTGGAAATATTCAAGGCCATATTCTCGCACTCTGCCTTGCTGAAATTGAACACAATGACAGGGTTAAACTTCTTCTTGATGGTCATACGAATGATCTTGTGTATGTCGGAACCTTCGTCCACACCGCCCTTGTTGATCTTCTTGTTCTTGCCCTTGCCCCTTTGCTTCGCGTTGATGTCATTGGAGCCGGCACCCTTCTTATCCTCAATCTCTTTCATAACGAGATTAAAGTTGTGCTCATTGAAGTTGCCCTTCTCATCGACCACAATTCGCGCGCCCTTGCCGCCAGAGGGGTAAAAGTAATTCTGCAGAGGCGTGGGTCGGAAGTCTGTGTACACGACGTGGCAAGCCTGGTGATGAATCTTGGCAATCCACTCGGCAAACTGAAAGGCATTGGGGATGGTGGCGGACAAAAAGACGTATCGAACCTTGTCGGGAAGCATGATTATGGTCTCCTCCCACACAACACCTCGAGTCTTGTCTCGCATATAGTGAATCTCGTCGAAAACAACCCAGGCGACTTCTCGCATAATCTCTGAGCCACGGTATAACATAGATCGCAGAATTTCAGTAGTCATGACCAAGCAGCTCGCCGTGGGGTTGATTGTAACATCACCAGTCATCAGACCGACATCTCCAAAGATTGCCTCGAAATCTCTATATTTTTGATTGCTAAGCGCCTTGATGGGACTGGTGTAGATGACTCGCTGGTTGCGCTTCAAACATTGCGCCACGGCGTATTCAGCAACAACTGTTTTGCCAGCAGAAGTGTGAGCCGACACAAGAATACTTTCATCCCGTTCAATTGACGCCACCGACAAGCTTTGGAAAGGGTCCAGCTTGAAATTCCATGTTCTCGCAGGCTCGTCAGGCGACTTGTGCTCCGACAGGGGAACGTATTCGTAGTCCAGATCGGGTGGCAAAGCAACTTGGTGCTGAATGTTATGCGACAAAACCAAGGACGAATCCTGCGGTATCAGAGTTGCCGCACCAGCGACTTCTCTTGACGTGGCTGTTTGAAACGTATCCGTCATAACAGGCCCGGTACCATCCTCCTTCTTTCGTCTCTTTTTGTCTTGTTGGCTGGGGGTATCTGAATCCTCCTCCTCGGACTCCTCCGCCTTGGATACCTCGGTAGCGTCGCCCATATCACCATCATCGCCTTCCTTTGGGGTTTCCACAGCCGCAGTGCCATTCATGGCCTCATCCGCCTTACGCTTCTTGCTCTTGTCGCGGGCTCGAGACGTTTGAGGCTCTCTTTCGGAATCGCTAGCGCTCTGGGCTCCGGCCTGGCCGTCAAAAACATCAAACAACTCATCCATGGCGGGCGGCGGTCTTGTCTCGCATCTATGGACGGTTTGAGTGCAGTATTGGGCAATGGCAGCCCTTACAGGTGCCGGTGAAAAGGTGAAGGACGGGACAAAGATTCCAAAATATAATGCAAACAATTACAGCGCTCCAAGGTAATAATTGGCCGCCGAAATACGCAAATGCATTTACGCAACGAAAATGCGAAATCAGAAAAGGCAGAGCGTTCGGCAAATCGGCGATTAAACTTGAAATCTTCCACCGTCTAAACCATGTGGGCTGGGCAGTTTAGCTGGCAGAAAAGAAAAATTCCTGGGTCATGGAAACGCAGGCGGTGAGAGGCACTTTGGGTTTCGATGATGGCATGCAGAGTCCAAGTTTCCACATTTTATGCCGAAGTATAGCCGGCCCCTTCCGAGCGAGAACCTATAGAGATCACATGACCAGTAGCTCACGCCGAACCGTTTGCTTTTGACCTCAGACCACCATCATTGCCTCGGATCTGCCACGACGTCGATTCTCACCAAAGCTCCAATCCATCCCCTTCGCATCGCGATAATCGTCTCCAAGGTTCGCCCTGCCTCTCAATTCGACGCCTCCACACCGCCCACAGCTAATTGACCCTGTTCTCGTCCACAGATGCTCTCCCGCGCCGCCGCTCGTACGACCACTTCGCTGGTCTCCCGCCGAGGCTTCCATGCCACCCGGGCTCGCATGTCCTCCCCTTACCACTACCCCGAGGGCCCCTACACCAACATTCCCTTCAACCCTCGCAGCAAGTGGTTCGGTGCTGGCTACTGGGCCTTCATGGCCACTGGTTTCCTTGCCCCCTTCGGCATCGCTGGTGCGTCATTTCGCCGACTCGGAAACATGGTTCGTGCGGTCGATGCTAACGAGAAGATACAGTCTACCAGACCTACAAGGAGCAGTAAGCTTGCGATTTGGGGGATAGGATCTCACGGTCGGTTATTAAGAAAATAAAGAGGGCGATTGGGGAACTGTTGTGGCAATCCTACGATAGACGTCAGAACAGTCGATACCACTGTAAACAAAAAATTTCCGTTTGTTCATCCCGGCATGCTCTTCAACTTGAATCTCGGCCCGATACAAGCGATTCCGTGGAACCATGTGTGAAAGAGCGCAGCCACATTTCGGGCCAATTCCTTGGTAAAAACGGTTAAATCTGTTCCTATCTTACAAGTATGATCCAAGGGGTATTTTTACTCTAATCAAGTTTACTACATGTACAGTGCCAAAAGCCCATTATTATCATATACAAGCCAATATTTCTCTCCAGACTCAAATCTTTTTGTCCTATCTCGGCATTGATTTCATATCCTTGTCTTGCAAAATATTTTCCATCATGGCATGAAGGAATTGCTGCCGCTCGCCTTCAATATCCCAACGCGGAGCCAAGGCATCAAAAGTTTCGAGGACTGCTTCATTTGAGGAGCATTTTTTCGTAGCTCTTAAAGCCCAAATGACAAGCCACTGCTCAATGCGAAACGCTTTGCCGTAGCTGTTCTTAGCTTGGTGCAGCGACGTTAAAACACCGTTCAATCGCTGCTCGCTCCAATCTGAGTTCAGAAAGCCACCGTGCAGATAAAATCCTTTAAACAAGACGAGGAAAATGGTAGGGTGCACGGAAATATTCAGGTGCTTCATCTCGTCGAGATACTGCGCCACTTTTGCCAGGTTTCCGACCCGGATGGCGTAATGTTGGATCAGGAGTTTGTACGTGTGCAGGTCAGGCGCAAGTTGGATATTGGTCTGAAGAGACTCCTTGAGCTGAGGATGCTTTTTCCCAACTTTTGAAAACATCATCAAGACTCTGGTGACAACTTTGTTCATCATGTAATCTCTCTGCGGCATGCTTAATGCCAAATTGTGCGATTTCTTCATTTGTTCGTAGGTGTCCTCGGCTGCTGACTCCTCTCCACAGCGCAAAAGCCCGGATATGACGCAATTCAAGACAATGGTGTCAATCATTTCTCCCGAGTCAACCATTTCCTTGTAGGCAGCTCGAATGCCGCCCGAGTCTAGGCGTAGTCCAAAGTAATGAATGAGGCTGACGTGGTGGAAACGGTTAAACTCAATTCCTCGGCTCTCCATTTCTTTGTAAATCATGTCGGCAAGCGTAAAGTTGCCCGCCTTGGCAGCCACATCGAAGAGAACATTAAACGTCACGTCGTTGCCCATGACATTGGCCTCTCTTTCCATTTCTCTCCATAATCGGAGTGCCGATTCCATCTCTTGCGCTGTGGGGCGTGATGCGTACTTGGTTGCAAAAGCAAGGGCAAAGTTCCACTGCGTACGTCGCAGTGTGAGACCAGCATTCTTGACATCTGCGACCAGAGCGAAATACCGCAACATGGACTCCATGTCCCGTTTAGGGGGCGTTCCCATTACTTTCAGAAGCCTGCTTCGCCATTGCCAAGTGAGATAGAGCATGCGAGGCTCTGGCAGCTGAGAGTATAGTTTGTAAATTGTTTCGAGCGTAATTCGGTTCGGGTGACGCAGTCGTTGCCCGATGGCAGCGTATAACTTTGATATGTGCGCTTGCAATTCGTCGCTTATCTTAAATGTCTCCTCCCTGGATGGATATTGCACATCGTGCTTCTTGTCGGAGACTTGTAGATTCGGGCCGTCTGGCTGCGCATATCCCCTGCGATAAGGGTCCCTGTGGAAGTCGAAATGCTCCTGCACACTGCCTTCTCCTCTCTCTCCGACAAAAGACATCAAATGTCGTTTCTCTTGGTCATTTGAAAGCAGCCGCGAGAAGGGTAAACTCTTTGCTGTAGCTGCCAGGGTCTCCGGCGCGGTGCTGTAGCAGCGACAGGCAAGCCGAGGCTGCACAGCAGACGGCCGACGGCTCTCTGGCATAAAGGTAGACAAGATCCATAGGGAACTCTTCATGCAAGACGCTGGTTTTATTCTCGTGCTCTCGGCCGCAATGTCGATGGGTCTGCAAATAGTCCTCCTTGGCGTATGCACATTTCTGAAGCCCGCCGACGGGCGGTTGAGGACCGCTCCACGGACAGAGCCGTCCACTCGACCAGATATTTTCATGGGTCTGTCCTCATGATGACATGCCCAGCAATATATGCATGTGCAAGCAGTCAGTCATGAGTTGATGGTAAGTTTGGCGCAGGATGCAGGGCGATGGAGGAACGGGATCTCGAATTTGAAGTGGGACTCTGGTCTCATTGAATTAATTTTTGGCAACTCCCCAGTCCCACTATAGCTAATGGTCATCTCCGCTGAACCAATCCGCCACAACGTCCTGTGGTATCATTGAGCTGCCGGATGGTTCGTATCGGCCATACAATTTGCCGACCACCCAAAATTTCCACCCGTACATGGATTTGCGACTACGCCATCAACCGCGCAGCCGTGCCATCTCATACAAAATCGTCAATTGATCCCAGAGACCATTGTACGTGCCATTTTCGAGCCGAATACCGATGCTTTGCAATCTCTGACACACCCCGTCTCCGCAGGACAGCATCATGGGCGGCCGACAAATACGGCCCGCGCGGGTCTTCCAATCCGTCTCCCAAGAGCTGAACCACCAGATGCTCGCGGGCCACACCGTCGCCCAACCACCATGGTACCAGGTCATGAACTCGGTTCCCCCCGCCGAGACGCTCGTCCGCACAGTCACGCCCAGGCATCGCATGCCGAACCCCAAAGCCAAGAAGCCCAAGAAGCTGTACCGACCCCAAAGTATCAGCTACCCCGAGGACGCTCTCCGAACGAGTTTCTACAAAGACCACCCGTGGGAACTGGCCCGGCCACGAATCGTCCTCGAACTAGACGGAAAAGATTACCAGCATTGCGACTGGAGTAAGGGTTTGCGACAGCCCGGTGTCCCCCTAACAGGCGAATGGTAGGGCAAAATATGCCAAAAAGACACATCAAGTGGTTGGCAGGCTAACTCGTACATAGCGTCGTCCAACGGCAGCTACATCTCATGCATGCCGAAAAGATGAGCAAACGCAAAGCCTACGACACGGCGCGCAAAGAATTCTACAGACTCCGTCAGGAGGAGGAGATTGAGAAGAGGGTAGCGGTCGAGGAGGCAAAGCACGTGGGGGCGTACTTTGGCAAGTCCCGGCTGGACGTGGGCGTGCAGCTCGAGGACCAGGAGTTTGAAAACTGGAAGATTTGGGCGGGCAAAGAGACGGCGAATAGGGCAGCAAGATCGAATTCGGAAATCGAGACGTTTGGAGTCGAAGACAGTGAGGAGGAGTTGGCTGAGGCTGCGTCTGTATAATTGGCCAAGCCATAAAAGTACGGAAATAAGCGGCACTGTATACCATGTACAACATCTGTCTAATAAGACTAGAACTGTCTTTTTTTTTACCTTTCCGTCTCAGCATGCCGTGTCTACTTTATGAATTACCCCAACCGAATCTTGTACACATTACTACTGGCGATCCAAGCCAGGCCGAGTCTGCCTGGCCCTCCGTGAATTAAACACCATCTCCCCGGCATTCACAAGGCCATACCGCTCGGCAACCTCCCCGTGCTGCACGTAGAAGGCATCCGCCAAGCCGGTATAATACAACAATCTGCCGGTCAGGCTCAGCGTCGCGATCCTCGCCCAGCTCTCCACGTACACGAAGCGCAAGCGGTCATCCGGCACCACCCAGAAGAGCTTCAGCAAATGCACCGCCAGTGCTACAAAGAAGCCCGTCGCCGGACCATTCGAAAAGACAATCCCTGGGTACTTGAGCTGCCTTCCAACCTCGTTCTTCGGCGGGGACAGCAAGACGGGGAAGATGTCGAGGACGCTTCGCAGGGCAGAAAACGGCGTAGACCAAAGCGGCTGGTGAACCCTGCGAGCCCGGGTCACGACGCGGGTGTCGTAGGTGCCCGGGTTTTCAGACGTCGCCTTCAATTCCGCCTCATAGTCCTCTACGTGATTGAGCGACATTTTGTCCCCGCTGGAAATGAGATAGCGACGGTGCGAGTTGCCAAAGTCGCGGGTGCCGTCGTCCATCATCATGAGCATCTCTTTGGTGTGGCCGCCTGAGCCGAGGACCAAGAGGTAGTACTCATTTTGAGGGAGTCGGGTCTCTGCTTGGAAGGGTGGTGGTTTGGGCCAGGTCCTGGACCGGCGGGCTTGAGACAGCTGGATGTGACGTGTCTGTGGCGATGGGGTTAGTGTCCAACGTTGATGAGGTTTTAGAAAGGCGATTTCGTGCAAGGGCGTGGGCTTACAGTTACGTAGACGGCAAGGCTGATGAGGCCCGCAAGGAGGGAGACAAGCTGTATGGTTGTTACGACCATGATGTGATGGGGAGGTTCATGAGCGGGACTCGGGAGCATGAGGGTCGGGAGAATCCAGATGACGGTTGTCTTGGGTACTGGGGCTTCTGTTTGCTGTCTCACGAGGTATGGCTATCTGGACCACCAGCCAGCATACATGACGCGCCGGCCAACACTACGCACTACCTCATAAGTATTTATAACAAAACAATGGGGAGGTTTTGAATTTGTGGCCAGGTTGTCCAGCAGTCCGTTGGTGCAGCCAGCGCAGCCGGGGGAAGGGGGGGGGTGGGTTCTGTACAGGGTAGGTGCGTTCCAGTTTGCAAAGTGGCAGGTTGAATGTCAATTGATGTTTTAAAGCAGCCATGGACTGGGCTTGGGCCAATAAATTTGCGAGACAATGCTATTTTTGCGCTTTTTTTATGTTTTGGTTTCGACTTCATCGTTCTCATTTCTCTTGTCATACGGACAAATTAATGTGGCTGGCGATGAACTACTTTTATCTGCCCACCTGCCTGCCTCCCTTAAGCTGCGCAACACCAAACCGCGTCCGTCATGAAACACAATCAACTTAACCTGGGCTTCGTCACCCTCCTCCCATCATAGCCATCACCAATCCCCAGTGCCGCGCCGCCCTCCCAACTGTCCCAAACAAGGCTTCAACGCCCTCCCCTGTCGCGGCCGAACACTCAACATACCCATCAGCCCCGATCCGTCCAGCATGCCAATCCCCCTAACATCATCAGCATTCATTGATTTCATGCGAACGCGCCTCTCACCTCGCGCCGACTAACGCAGCAGCTCGCCCCAAACGCCATCCCCACGCCCTCCACCGCCAATCTATGGTCCTCGAAGGAACACTCCATGCGCAGATCCTTCTTTGTGCCGACGAGATACACGACGGGCTGTGAATCTCTACAGAATCCATTCTTAACAGCCTCTTGCCACTGACTCGGTCAATACGATTCGCATATTTGCAGCAAGGGACAAATACCCAGTGGAGCACCCTGAACATGCCCATCTTCTCCTTGACGTCGAAGCAGAGAAGGACTGCACCCCACGACATGTACGAGAGCCTCGAAACAGTCTCTAGGTCTCCCGTGCCAGAAGTATCCTATAGCTCCATGGTGGCCGGGCAATGGTACCGTTTGTCGAGGATATATGTCTCGTACGGCGTTCGGGAAATCGCCGCCGTCTATACGTATTAGCATTCTCCTTTCCCCATATTAAATCATCTTGGTTCAAACCACATCAACGTACGTCTACAAATCTCCCGAATTTCGCACGACTACTCGAGTTTTCAGTTCAGCCCCCTCCCCAGCAAACTATGAGAGGAAAGAAGGGAAAACGTACTAGAGAAGCGCCGTTTGTCCACACCCTCTGTCGCCAACACACAGAACTCTTAGTCGCAGTGAACCACCCATCGCCAGACCACGTGACGGGCTAGGACTTCTCTGTTTCCGTTTCCTCGAGAAGAGGCCCAGAAAGTTTCGTTTGCCCTTGTCATCGCAACGTGTGGACATCCTCGTGTCGAATCTCTGCAGCGAGTCTTGCTCAAGCACTTCATGTCCTGCCTGGGGTCGATCGGTTGCGGCTTCTTGGACAGTCGACCGTCGAAATGGCGTCATGGACCGGAAGAAGCCGCGATTTGCTGACCTGGGCGGCGGATCTGGCTCTCGGAATGTCTGCGTTTCTTATAAGCCATGGACGGAATAGAAACGCGGCAGACGTGAAACACACCAGTCTGGTTGAGCATCTTGCCTCGAAGCCGTCATTCTCAAAGGGATCTTCTCGTTCAAGACGGCTTGGGACCGAGTGCCGCCAGGAATCGATCCACGCTGCGTCGTCGTTACTCATGTCGATTACCTGATTGGAATTCACCATGCGCCTTGCTTTTACATTACATGAGCCTTGTGGTTGCCGTCAGGATTTGGAGTGAGATTCATCTTTCTATCTGTGCTTATACAAAGGGAAAAAGCCAAAGTGGGGATCATGCAGGATCTCCGCCAAAAGTGAATGGTATTTCACTTTCGATTCAGCTTCACTTCAATGCCGTCCTCAGGACTGCTTTCAGAACAGTCATTCCTCAGCCTAGGGGTCCCAAATTCGCCCTCATCATCCTGTCGTCGTCCAAACTCAATTCCTCCTTTGGAAACCAGTCATTCAACCTTCCGCCGGGTCTCCCAGGCACCATTTCCAATTCCTCGTTCTCCATACCAGCAATCTGTATTCCCACGGCGTAGCCAGAGAGCAACGCAAATGCCGTATCCTGACCGTTGTAACCCGCCGAAATCCATTCTCCGGGCGTAGCCAAGCCACCATCATCAGAAAAGGGAGCCTCAACAGCAGCCTGCTCACTGCTCGAGACCCCCCTGTTGGTATAATCCTGAGGAATCCTTCCCACAAAGGGCAAAGAATCACCCGTTATCCCTATAGTACTCGACCGGTTCTGCGGCATTATCTCCGCGTCTTTCCATTCCGGTCCAAACACACTCTCCATATAGGAATAGATCTGATCCACCGTGCTTAGCATATCCCCGTGATCCCTCCCGCTGACCCATTCCCAGTCAATCAGCAACTCGTCGATTTCGTCATTCCCACCAGGCAGTCGGATCACGGTAAAGGGGTGACTTTCGAGATGGAGAGCCCAGATGTGCTTCCCCTCGCGTTTTGGGAATCTAGCGCCTGGTCTTAGCAAAAGCCTGTGCTTCCAACCAGCCGTTAGGCCTATTTCCGGCAAGAGGCGTGGGGCGGAGCTGGCGGTAGCGTGGACGACGTGTCGAGCTCGAATACTTCCCCAGGAGGATGTGACGATGTAGGGGTGAGACGAGCCTGTGGTGAGTGTAATATGTCGGACACAAGTGTTCGTGCTGATGCAAAGGTTGGCATATTGCGTGCGCAAATCCGCCCATATACTCGTGACGAGCTTATGCAGCCGAATCAATCTTGCCGTGTGGGTTCTAGCACCACGCGCCCGTAAAGGTCCATACTGTTGTAAGTCAGTACTTCGAAACAGTCCAAGCAGGCAGGCATGTACCTGTCACTTACATGGGGTACCTCATCCCCTTCCAAAATAGTTGCTCCATACTGCGGATAAAGTTCGTCCAGAGGCCTCTGGGTCCTCTTGCCAAACTCCAAGTCTTCATCGTTATCGTAGAGCTCCTCCATTTCGAACTCCCTCGCGCCAGCATCCAAGTACTTTGACTCCAGCTCCTTCACTGCTTCTGCATTCTTCACCTGGAAATCCAAAACCTTCTCTGGCAACAGCCCGCCGTCAGGGCGGAATACTCGGCACGGTAAAAAACTCATAAGCGCGTCATGTTGAGTCGCCCCCTCGTGGCAGAGGCCCATTGCTTCGAGGACGAAAACGTTAGGAGCCATCCCCCGTGAGGCCATGAGTGGGAGGATGGACAAGGCCACTCCCACGGCTGTTATGCCGCTGCCAATGATGACAACATCTACACGATGGTCTATATGGGGACGGATGTTGGGGAGGCGGCGACCTGGGTTCGCGCCTTCAGAGACCAAAGTGCTCGCGGAACCAAGAGAACTGACTGAGCTGTTATCGTCGCCTACCAAGGTGTCGTCATCGCGTATGTCGTAGCCGTAGCCTGAGGTGTCAGGCATGGTGTTGTATAGTATGATGGTAATTGCCGTTGTCGCGGGTGGCAAATCACTATGGTGAAGTAAAAGGGTAAGATGGCCATGGAAAAACTGCCACTACTCGGCCAGTTTATATACACACCAGGCTCGTCCAAACTCAACTTGAACATTGTTGACCTTTTTTGAACAGAAAAGGGACACCCCGTCAACATGCCTGCTGAAAGCCGTGCCACTCCATGAACAGAAACCAACAACGACGACGCATGTTGGGTCCGTGCAGCTACTCACTAGCAATGAATGCAATGAATGCAATGAACGCAATGAACGCAATGAACGCAATGAACGCAATGAACGCAATGAACGCAATGAACGCAGTGAACGCAATGAACGCAATGAACGCAGTGAACGCAATGAACGCAATGAACGCAATGAACGCAATGAACGCAATGAACGCAATAAACGCAATAAACGCAGTGAACCTAACTTTTGAGAATGGCAGAAAACACTACATCACAGCTGCGCAACATGGCATCAGCAGCAATCATTCCTTGGCTCCACACGAGCTGCGCACTCGGCCGTATCCCTTCATCCGCGGCACTGCGGGCGTCATATATAGAAGTCTAGTGATAGTTTTCTCTAACATATTCTATTGCCATGTCATGTCATGCCATGCCTGATTTGATATCCCGTGCCCCTCCAATTTCCCCTACCCCCGAAAAGCATGCCTGCAATAATAAATAGGAGAGGTCATTCAGTTCCACATCAGACAAACACCAACTATAAACATTCAATACATGATTTGTTTTTGCATTCTCGATCCCGTAAGCTCCCCGAATACAAAACGCCACACAAGCAACCAAAAACACCGATCCGTTCCCCGACTCATCGTTCCAGACGCGCACTCGCACACAAACAAAAGCCAAACTCATAAACGAGACTCGTATCAACATGGCCGAGCCATGCCAACAAAGTGGTACGCCAAACTCGATGCAGGGTATGTAACGTGGTATAAATAAGCCTTGTCGCAAGCGCAGGTCGGCCATGTTCCGATTTATACATTCTGAAGCAGGGGACATGATTAAAGAGAAGGGAACTAAAAGTTAGTGTGAAGGAAAAGAAAAAAAATTTCCGCAAGAGACACATAACGCTACAGAGGCCGAATGTCAAAAGACGTGACAGCATGGCAAGCCCAGCTGTCTGAACGAGAAAGAGTAGGGTATCTGAACAATAGAACATCTCATCACTGTGAGAAAAAGAAACAGGTAAAACTTGTGCACATCAAAGACTGAGTGAACCCGAGTCCAAATCGTCTTCAAAATCAAGCTGCAAATCGTCCATCGGACCAGACAGCCATTGACTTTTTCCACGGCCACTGCGAGGCCCCAAGTCCAGTTCTGCTCGAATATCCGCTTGTATTTGCAAAAAGTACTGTCGAAGGCTCCTCAGCCCCTTCAAGAAGCCCGAATCCGGCTCATTTGGATGCCGTGGGGGACAGGCCTTGTCCCGTATATCATCCATGGGCGTTAGGCTGTTGGCAAAGTCGGCCATCTTGAAGTCGATTTCTCGGAGATTTCTCCGTCGTCGGCGGGTGGTTTCTTCGGTATCTGTTGCGACATCCGTTGCTGAGTCGTACATTGTTTCGTAGCCTCCCTCCTCAGACGTGTCGCCGTCATAAAACATGAGCAGGCTGGCGGCGTAAAATCGGTAACCCCTCAGGCCATGAATGATTTGCTCGAGTTGAGCAAGCTTCTTCAAAATGACGGGAATATGGCGGAGGACACTATGTAAGTCGACACCATTGTAGAGGAACTTCTGCAGGGCATTTTGAAACTCTGGCCCGGCCTTCACCTTCCTGCCAAAGTACTTGTCTTGGAATTCATACGACTGTGTCCTAGCATTCCAGACTTGAAGGCCACAAATACGCACACCCAGCTCCGCAGAGGTAGTTGTGCGGCACTTCTCCTGTTGCGACTTTTGCTTCTTTGGAGTTGCATCTACGCCATATTGGCGCGTGCCCATTTTGAGGTCCATCATACACGGTCGCTTCATACCAGCAGTCAAATCTTCCATCAAGAGAAAATATTCTACACGATTTCCACGAGTTTTGGCTTCCTTCGGGTTGATGGGTCGGGGAATTTTCTTGAATTCATCTGTGGGACTTGGAAGAGCAGACGGTAATGTAGACGGTACTGCAGAGTGAGTCAAATCCAGCGGTGAAATGAGGGCGGGACCGTGAACTGGTGCGTCGTCGTACGCGGCTTGATGCCCAGTGACGTTGGCCTCGGCATCTTTTGCAGACTTTTCGGCGGCTAGCCGCTCGTTGTGGGTTTTATACTCTGCGTCGTCAGCTTCCTCGAAGTACTTGAGATCGCCCCGGGATTCCCGGACATCTTCTGGTCGCCGTCTAAGCCCGCCTGCTGAGTACCTCCGTCTCCTCCTACCTGTGGTGAGGGTTGCTTTTAAAATCTCGGGTTCTGGGGCACTAGTTCCAGTAAGGTCCTTGGTAGGAGCACCCACATCCTCTGATTGTCCAGGAAGAGATGCAGTTTCGGCACCAAGGTCGCTCTGGGTATGTCCATTGTGATGGATATGCGGCGAGGGTGGCTGAACCTTGATGGGAGGTCTTTGTTCGAGCTCAATCTGCTTATCGGACGCAGCAAGATTTGGGTCAGAAGTTGTGGGTCTGAGAAGCCGCTGCATCGTAGGTCGGGGTATTGCACGCTGGTGTGGGCGGCGGTGTTTTTGGACTTCAACAGGCTCTTTTAAAAACGCGTCATTGAAGACCTCGTTCCGAAGGCGTTTGTTTATTGTTGTTGCGCCCCAGCTGTTGGGTCGTTCTTCCAAGTGCGGCCGAGGCGTCTGAGGCTTGGATATACTTTGATATATCTTCGCAGACGAGGTACTGCGACGTCGAAAAAACTCTGGTGGCGGGGTGGGCTGCAGTAGATTTCTTGGCAAAATATGCTTGTTGTCGTCGAATGTGACTGTAGGAATCTGCAAAGCGGTATTTGCTAGCGACTGGCTGACAATTCTCGTGGGCGCTGGATCAGTCAATTCGTTTCCGGGCACGTCGGTAGCCAGATGATCAGTCCCATTCAGCATCTTTTCTGCGTCATTATTATCATCTAGAGCCTTCTTGCGTCCGGCCAAGGATGCTTCATCTTTTCTGACTGTGCTTTTCCGTCGCGGTTGCTTCTGAAACGTCACATTCAAAACACCTATATATCTGAGCCGAGCATGTTAGCAGATATACCATCAGAGCTACAGCTGGGCAGCTTTCGAATACCAAGCCACTTGGCCGTGCCTCAACAACTTGCCCATGTGCAATAAAACGCTCGTGCAAGCTTACTCCACACTTACCGAGGAAGAAATGGAAGCAGATCACGATGATACCGCTCAATTGTTTCGTAAAATTCATTTTCCCTATTGTTGAGCTGCTTACATACTGCTCTGCGGGAAAAGCGCCAAATCGTTGTATGACCACCCACTTGATGCTTGTAAGGGATTAGCTCAATGGCTTCGAGTGGCTGGCGAGGGTGGTGTTGGTGGTGATGGACATGATCATCGTAATGTGTCACAGTGGGTTGGGGCTTTGGCGCTTTCTGGCTCTTCAAAATAGGTTCGACTACATTGGCAGCCTCGGTGGGCTTTTCCGGAAGCTCATGGCCAGGCGAAGCATGACTGTCACGATGTTCGGAACGGGAATTGTCAGTGGCGGCGATTGTCTCCCCCTTGCCATGCACTTCTGGTTCTGGTTCAGGTTCATCAGCCTTCACGAGCCACGGATGAGCACTACTGCGTGAAATGGATCTTGGTCGTTGTACTTGGGCTGATCCAGACAGATCTGGGGCAGCGGTCCGGGTATCTTGTATCTCCTGGTGGGGCAGAAAGACGGCTGACGAGATTTTCTCCTCGCCAGACTCATCAGCATCCTCAGCATCAGCATCGACATCGGCATCGTGGCCAATACCATTATGTTTATCGCGGGCTTTGGAGCCGGCACCGGCTATACCGCTGCTAGACGGGCGTTTCCCCTCCTGTTGGTCATCAGCTGACCTCCGTTGCCCCTCTACAACGTCGGGTTGTGAAGCCGGAGTCGGCCCCACTTCCTTAGGTGGCGATATCGGCTTAGATTTGGCCTCATGACCCTCTGGTCGCAATCTCGAGCGGAGTGTCTCAGAAATCTTTTCAACCTGGGCGACGGCATCGGTAGACTCTAGATTGAAGTAGTCGTCGGAAACCCAACTGGAACCACTGCGCATGCTCTGGGATGTAGATGGTTCTTCGATGCGATGGCCAGGCGGGGTCACCGTGGCTATTGTTGAGTCATCCTGAATGCCTTCCTCCGAGGTTGGCGATAATTTATCGCGAGGTGTCGTCTTGGTATCCCTCCGTCTCGGCTTGTCCTCAGGTGGAAGGCCTTCTTTGAAAAATCGTAGACTGTAACTCGCTTTGCGACTTCGGGCGTTGGGCTCGACTCCAGCCATAGCCTCGGCAACTGACTGTTCAACCAAGCCATCCTCCTCGTCACCGCCACCTGAACCAATAGACCAGATCTTTCCGGTTTTCTCAGGGCTGACTGTCACCTTACTTTCCAGAGATGATCGATGCGACAAGCGGGAATCGACATCCAAAGTTGAGTTATTGAGTGCTTTGGTGGGAGGCAACCGGAGTGGGTCATTGGACAAGTAAGACGGCCTAGTCGGTGTCGAGGCCTCTTCGGGACTTGCAGAAAGGGAGAAGGCTCGAGATTTGAGTATATCGGTAGTCGAACGGTCGAGGTCGAGAGAGGTAGAGGCACGGCCCCTGGCTCTATCGAGGAAATCTCGGTGCTCCATGAGCATCTCTCTGGCTTGGGACAGATTGGAAGGGTTGAACTGGCGTGGGATAGAGGTAGAGTCTCGGGTTGGTATCGCAACAGAGGCTACCGGGACCATGACCGGTGTGGCCATGGCTGAGGAGGACAGGGAAGGATCGCGACCTACGGAGGCTTGGTGCTCTCCATGCTTCGTAGGCGTTGGGCGACCTGCGGTGTGGCTATGCGAGGTGGTAGATTCCGTTTCGCGATCGGGAGGAGGAAGATGGCCGTTTAACTGAAATCTAGATGACCGGCCACTGCTAGCACTGCTACTGCCGCTGTTGTCGTGAGTGGAGGGGATATTATTACTCGGAGTGTTGTTATTGCTGCTCTGCTTCTGACCTTGAGGGATACCACGAGCAGATGCCAGGGCTTGTGTCAAGAGTGAAGGGCCAGGCTGCCTTGGGCCATGCTGGCTGGGGCGGCGAGACTTTATATCGTCCTTGAATGAGGCTTGGTCCGCATCCCTGGAGCGGATGGGCTGTGTACGGGAGGAAGACTGGATGACCTGAGAAAAGACCGGGGGCTGGCCGGACACCTCATCCGCACTGCTCGACGCTGGTACCAGCACAGTCGAAGCTGCATCTGGAACAGCGCCGACGGCGGGTTGAGCCTCTTGACCTAGGGGTGCAGGGGGTATGGCATTTTCGGGCTGGGAACTCGGGCTGGACATGAGGAAAACATTGGGCGCGGCAGGGCAGCAGCGTGGGAGGATCGATTCGCGGCAAATGCAGGACTTGTGTCGAGGGTGTGATGTTGAGCGGCGAGGGTGGAGGAAGGAAAAATAAGACACCAGCGGACGGTGTTTGCGAAGGTTGACTTGGCTTGGCTTAACTTGGCTTGGCTTGGCTTGGCTCCATGTCGGCCGTTGCCTAGAGTACAGGGTACGGCGGCATGTAGCAGACACCGACGGTGGACCTGAGTACTTAAGTACCAAGGAGTACCTGGCCTCAGTACCGCCAGTTTCAGAGGACTGCAACCCTGACAGAGCGGAGAGGGAAGGAGCGAGCAGTGGACTGGCAGCATTGAATGGCCAGCTGGCGCAACTGAGTGCCTGCCAAAGGCCATGCAACCAGACAGTCTGCTTTTCGCTCTTGCAATTGAGCCAGGCCACCACGACCCGTCCAGATGTCAACATCAACATTCAAGATTTGACTTTCGGAAGACCACCCTTGAAACCACCACAGCCGCGCCGCTCAGGAGCCCATGTCTCGCAGCCAACTACGGAACTTATCTATCCAAATACTCCGTATCGCACGGGGGTGTGTGCTCCATAAGTGCATCTATTCGGTCGAGCTGTCTAATTACGTTTGACAAGAAGTACGGAGTATGAAAGTATGAAACCCCTTCTTCGCAGCATGGAGGATACCAACCTTTTCTGCATTCGGACCAAGGCTACGGAGTGATATGCCCTCGCTCGTCGACAGCCTCTCGCGCTGGAACTGGTTGTTCTTCGCAAACACCAACTTCCCTCTCTGTCAACTGCCTGCCGAGGTGGCACCCAAGCACCGCGCCTAGAGTGAGTTGCGAGTGGGAACACAACATGCGGCCACAAGGGCTGATCGCGGGGTTTCAGTGGCTCTCATGCAGCACCAGCAAGCAGCAAGGTCCCGGTTGACGTCTGAGCTTCCAAGGCTCCGTGGTTGGACCCGGATGATGCTTTCATTAGTACTATTGTCAAGTCAAAGCTAAGGCGAATCTAAGAACCCAAGAACCCGCCGGGTATTGCAGTACATATGTACCGAGTATTGCGTACTTCCCACGCCGCCCCGGCTTGATAGACGTCGGAGATGCGAAAGAAGCGACGAACCAGGTAGCAAACACCACGAGCACGGGAATACGCGTGTGGGAGGAGGGCCCAGCCTAGCATCGATGGAAACAGGGGTCTGACAGATAGTGTCCATGACATGCAAGCCGACGGCTTCCCAATCGCTATGCTGGTGGACTTGTGGCAATGCCGGCTCGCTGATTTGCTTGCAGATTACCACGCTTGGGGGTGTGTTGTTATCTTTTCGCATAGCCCAGGTTTCGCGACACAGCCTATCCCATGCACCGCCATAATCGTCGGCCAGTCAAGCCAATCACCAAATCTGCTCTCCTGTACTCCGTACTCCGTGCTCTGTGCCCGGTAGAGCAACATCCGTGCCTACTACTCTGGCTCCAGAAGACGTCTCCACGCCTCCACGTGGGCTCACAAGGTGCCGAATGGAGCACGCTCACCGAAAGCCAATGACGGCATCAGGTTTGCTCACCGACAACTGTCCATAGGCAAAATGATTTTCTTAATACTTGCGACTTGCTGTCCCAATCGTGGTCGTCAGTCTGATGCAATTGGCTGGACGCTGCACCGATGCAGTGTGGCTGGTGGTTCATGTGGATGAAATGGACGAATCAACCAAATCTCATTGGGCGGCATCTGATATTTCTTGCGCAAGTGCTCAGCTTCCAGTAGTAGCACGTCCCGGATGAGATTTGCTCGCACAGGGCAGGGCAAGGCAGGGCAAGGCCATGGATGGTATTGCAGGACAGATATCGTTCCTGATGTTGATCAAGAGAAACCGTCGGAGCTCGGCAGCTACCCGTGGCGTCGGTACCACAATGCATCAGGCTTGACGCACCTTGATAAGTTCATTCTGCAACACCCGCGCATCCAAGGTCCGAGGTCTCGCTTCACTGCGTTTCAACATCCCTAATAAGTCCTCGCTTGTCAGGCCATAGCTGGAGCCTGGCAGCATGCTTAAAAAAAGGGCCGCATAACTACGGAGTACCTAGGTAGGTAGTCTCCACGAGGTGACCTCGAGGTACTCCGGATAAAGAAGTTTCGGTAGAGATGATCATCTTGACTGTGGAAACCTACGTCAATAAAGACAATGTGGTGGATTTTTTAATTTTTTTTAATTTTTTTTTTATTTGTTTAATTAGTGAGTCATCCGGCCACCCAAGCTGGTCGTAGTTATTGTGCCTCGAAAAGGTAAAAATGCCTCGTAGTCGCCAATGGCCATCAATCATAAAACAGCGCATAGTGGCAATGAATCCAACTTGTCTTGCAGGTTGACCATCAACCAAACCCACTTTTGCGTCCAGTCGCAGTACCAAAGGGAGGGAAAGGTGACTCAGACTTCAAACTTTTGTCACTCAACGGTCATGGGCAATAATGTGTCGAGGGCCGAGCCCATGGTGGGGAATGTTAGAGTTGGTAGTACGAATCGCCTCGCCGCATGTCTAAGAAGATATTCTGACATGTCGAAATGGCAGCAAAGGTGTGGAACGAAGTAATTTATGCATCGCAGATTCTGACCGTCGAGTCGCCCATACATTGAGCGCTCGGCGTCTCTCCGCGGTTGCTCCTTCCTTCCATGCGCTGCCTCGACGAGACTTGGGTAATGCGCTCTGCCCGTGCCTGACCCGACACAACCTGTGCCCTCAAATCTTGTCGACGGTCGAATCCAAAAATCCTTTGCGGGTTGATCGAGGCCATTGTCTCTTGTGAATTCGCACGTAGCGGGTTTCACGCTGTGAAGATCTCCTCCCTCTGTGCCTCGATATTGTTGCTATGTGCCGAGAGGATTACTCTCCGTTCGCTCTCCGTTCCGAACTTCCGACATTCCCATATGCCCAATCCTGTCGCCTCGCTGCCTTCCCACGACAAATGCTCACGATATTACAGCACGCTAAATCAATACTTGTTCCCCGCATTTGATCGGCGGAGATATCACGAAGGCATAGGTAGCAACTGCGCCGTACTACCTTGTTTCAGTAAGCTAGTACTCCGTATTTGTAATCAACAAAGAGTGACGCACAACGTGTCACGAATGCCCTTGCTAAGAATTCGGCCTAGCTATTCGCTTCGGAAAGTTTTTTGGTCTTGAAAAACTCTTTGGCTGATGCTTCACTTGCACTGAAGTCGACAGAGATAACTCGACACTGCTACAAAAAGGGCTCGCAAAAATGTCATCATCATCATCATCATCACCCTACAATGCAGCTTCACTTTTTGGGGTCAAAGAGCTTGTTGCTGTCGTCACTGGCGGCGGTTCTGGCCTTGGTGCCATTACCACGCATGCATTGGTAGCCAATGGCGCCAAGGCAGTGTACATACTTGGTCGACGGGAAGAGGCCCTGCTCACAACCAAGAAGAATGCATCCAATCCGGACGTGGTTCACACCATTGTTTGCGACGTCACTTCCAAAGACAGTCTTGCTGCCGCAGCGAACCTGGTACGCGAGGAAACTGGCTATATCAATGTGCTCTATGCCAACAGTGGCGTGATCAAGGCGGCCACGGCACCTCATGACGCCAGCGACGACATCAAGAGCCTACAACAGAAGTTATGGAAGCCAGACATGGAGGATTTCACCACCACATTGCATGTGAACGTCACTGGCGCATTCTACACAGCCATTGCCTTTCTTGACCTACTGGACGAGGGAAACAAGCGAGCCATCGTGGCAGCAAAGTCTCAGATTATTCTGATCTCATCCATTGCCAGTTTCTCGCGCACGCCCCTCGCTGGCTTTTCCTACAGCGCAAGCAAAGCAGCCATTACTCAGCTAACCAAGCAGCTGTCATCCACATTGGCGCAGTATAAAATCCGAGTCAATGCGATTGCTCCAGGCTTCTTCCCTAGTGAGATGACCCAGGACATGCCATACATGAAAACCGAAAAGGACCCAAGGGAGGAGGGAGCCCTGCATTCAAGCGTGGTGCCACTAGAGAGAGTCGGATCTGAGGAGGATTTTGCCGGTGTCGCATTATTCTTGGCCAGCAAGGCAGGGGGCTACGTTGATGGAGCCATCATTCTTGCTGACGGCGGCAGAATAAGCTTGCTTCCCAGTAGCTATTAATATTGAGCGTCATGTCGTTTCGAAATTCAGACAGATTTATTCCGTGCCGGGTACATCTTTGCAAAGATATCTCGAGAGCGATGAAACCTGGGTTTCTCACCATGGTTTTTTGACAACTCCCCTTGCCATGCGACCACATGCATCTGCCGGTTGGCTATTACGGCCCAGACACGTCACCAGGACATTTCTCTTCCTACATATGTGCCAAAAGAAGGAGAGCTTGTGCTCTCTTGTCTCACCGAGTCTTAAATCTCACGACTCGCCGCCGGCCCCATTCCTCCAAGGGGCCGCTTAGACTGCAACTAACTAAACCATCCCTGTCCCAAGCACCGGAAGACGTCCCCGAAATTTGGATCAATCTGTCAAAAAAGGAGAAGAAACCCAATTTTAGCAGTCCACGAGGGCGCACGACGAGCTGTCAATCCGCCATGGAAGGGATCCAAGCTTCCATGACCAAACCCAAACCGAGTGAGGCGTGGGGATAACATGGACAGAGGACGAGTCAAACCCTCGCCAGCCTCTGTCACAGTCCCCCATGTGAAGGCATACATAAGAGAAAGGGGGAATGGTTGTATATGTCACATCATTCCGCCCATAATATGATATGGAGAGCAACACGTGGTTGTAGGTTGATCGATTCCAGGCAATTACACCCCACGTTGCGGCACTGACGTCCATCATTGGATATCCAACGTTTCAGAGTGTTTATTCTGGGCCGGATGCAGCCGTTTGGCCACTCACTGGCTGACAACTGTTACCGCACAAAGAGTACATACAATTTTCGACTTGTGCCCTGGCCTCGGCCCGTGCTTTTAATGCATTTGTAAAAATCTGTGCCTGGTGTTGTCTTTGTGGCGTTTACGAATCGACGTGTCTTGCATGGCATCCCGGGCGGCTCCAGTACTGGAGAACACCGTGCAAGGGTATCTTTGACCGCTTGGGAGCTTGAGAAGGAGCAGCTACTTGACGCATTACCATGGACACTGTCGATTCAAGTTCTCTCGAATCACCTGGCCGAATGGTTACATCTTTGACTGTTCACTTGGCATTGGTAGACTAATCCACGTTGGCGAGAAACCGCAAATTTGTACTACCCTGGAGCCAAGCGCAACTTGGCAATCGCGAAAGGTGCCCTTTGTCAAAGAGATAGACCGAACCGTATTCTCTCTTTGATGGACTGCTTGGCTCATAGAATACATTCACTAAGGTGGCCATGAACCCGACGCCTAGATTCGTAGTATCGGTAACGCTTGAGTAGAAACCACGCCCAACATACTACACCAAGTTTCCAAATGCCAACTTTCAGTTCACGCAGTGACACCACGGAAAAAAAAACAGAAGGAACACGTATAACAAGGTGCACATATTTTTTTACATCGGACACAATTATTAGTACACAACACACGAACTAGGTAACCCTCACCCGGATCATAGGTCAGACAAGCCATGCAGTGACATGACTCTCACGGACTTATTTACATCGGCAAATATATGCCCACCGGTAAGGTTTACCAGAGAAGGTTTCAGTGCTTGCACTCTATCACCCGATATTGCACAACGCAAGTTCCCATCAACCTCGCTCAAGAAACATGCCTGACCGGGGGGAGCAGCGAAGCACCCTCCATCCGGCTATGTGTCGAACAAGCTTCTCAATCCTTCGGCCTTTTCGAACCGCGCGATAAATGCCACTAAAATTGAAGAATCAAAGCATCAACAACGATTAGGCGGGCATACGCAATGGGAGTAGCAACGATGTACATAAAATGTACGGTGCGCAAGAGCTTTAGAAGCCGGGAATATGGCCTTGACGTCAAAGTGAGCAGTTGAGTGCAATACGGAGCACAATCGACAGATATGCCATTTTGCAGAGATAAACGTATAAATACGACTATCCATATTAAACATTAGGGTATACTGTGATTGTGTTACAGACAGATATGAACAGTCGTTGACAATATGCGCTAAAATCACATGTTGTAATCGTGGTATAGCAAACTCTAGACTTTACAAACGCCAATCCCGCCAAACGCCAAAAATCCCATCCGCAATGTCCATGGCTGATAATCTCCTATCCCTCACGTCTCAATGCTAGATGTCTGCCCACCTGACGCTCCCTTTCGTGCTTGGTCCAGCTCCGCATCAATGTTCCAGGGGTCCCAAAAATCTCCCATCTCCCGAACCATGTCTTCAACAACATCCATCGGCTCTTCTGATGCTCGACTGCATGCACGCGGTTCAGTATGCTCCGCACTTTCTCTATCCTTGGACACTAGTCCCGCGGTATTGTTGTCAGCTGTCATGAAAGTTTCAGCCATGGCGAACGGGCCAGGACTCTGTAGTTGCTGCGATTCTGTGGGGATGAGAGTCTGTGACCGTCCGTCTCTGCGGTTTGCTACAGCCTCAAAGTGCTTTGCGAACTTGGTGTCGTGGGCTTGCCGGAAATCGCCGCTAAGGTTCTCCGGTGGCGGCGAGGTCTGTCTCTTTGGCATATGACGGGCTATGCGAGCATCTTCTCGTGATGGTGTTCCCTCGAACTCTTCAAGCGATGCCGCCCATGAGACACGCAGACCTGGGCGTTTCTGGCTCCATTGACTTTTCACAGATGACGGGAGAGATCCTTGGGTACTTCTGAATACCTGTCCAGACGCAGATAGTGACACACCTTCCCCTCGGTTCCGATCCGGCGATGGGGACATAAACGATGAGAAAGACTTGACGCAAAATTGGGGTTCGGGGGTCCTTGGTCGGGGCAATGATGGCTTGGCGAACGGGATTTGCTCGATATTTTCGTTGATCGGACTCGATGATGACTGATCTAATGATGCGGCATTGGATGATGGATTCTGCATCCACGGGTTTTGGATATTAGTAGATGGGGAAACGGCTGCAGTATTCTCGGCCTCGTTACTGGATGGCTTCGCCCCAGAGATGTTTAGTGATAGAATGCCCAATGGTGACCTAGACAATATGGCATGATCCGTATTGACCCATGGGCTCTGCTGGGACTCAGGAACGCGCTGATCATCTGCCTCTGAGTCCTTCAGCCGCCTGTCGCTGTGGCTATATGAGACTGTCTGTTGGATTTGAACCGGCTTATGTAACTGGTCAAAGTCACCTATGAGCTCATTACGACGCGGGCTTGGTAATTCTTCTTTATGCGTCTGGCTGGGTTGAGAATCTGCCTCTTCGACTTGATCTGCAGACTCATTCGCGACCGCACACTTCTTGCTGAAAGTTGCTGAAGGAGATGACGAAGGTGAAAGAGCTAGTCGTGTCAGTTTGTTCCACGGACTAGAAGGAACAAATCGATTGAGGATGGTCTTGAAGATGAATTCAGATGCGTCTTCTTTGACACGCTCAGCTTGGCGAGGAGTTGTAGGAGTTTCATGTTTGACGGATTCTGAATCACTTTGCGTGTGGTAGTCCCTGGTGGAAGTTGTAGAGAATTCGCTTTCCATGGAAGCAGTCTTTTCATCATGAACTGCAATGTCGTCTGATGTAGAAGCGTGGCTTGTGTCTTGTGAACGGTTTGGTTCAATGTTACGTATCGAAAAGGTTTTTTGGGTTGCAGCACATGAGTTTCCTGAATCATCTCCCGAATCCATGTCTGAGAGGTTGTCCTCCTGTTTTACGTCAGCGCCACCTTGATGGGCTACAACTTCACCCACTGATTCCATTTTCATGACCCAGTTACCATGTGATTGTGCAACCGGAATATCGGTCTCCTTTACAGGCGAATCATCTGGGTTTCTATTGTTATCGGGTCCTGTAGAATTCCGAGTCGAATCCGGAACAGTGCATTCCGCTACGCCTTGCGGCTCCGATTTAATGCCAGGAAGATTGTCCATTTCGATGTCTGAATCGGCCCTCTGAGCGATAGGTTCCGAGTTACCGTCCATTTCGGCCTTGCAATTGCTTGGAGGTGACTCAGGTTCATAGCGCTGGTTTTCATGTTGACCATTCGTAGCTTGCGAAGTCGCGTCTTCACAGGTTGTGTTGACTATAATACAGCCATCCTCGACCAGCATTGCTGAGCCATTGTCGTCTTCATCCGCTATGGTTTCGGGTTCAGATTCGGTAACAGAGCGAGATTTGGATATATTTTCAATAGTAGTCTCAATGTCTTGCCCGCTCGCGGCTTCTACTTTGACTCTGGGTTCCTCGCCTGGCGGGTCCTCCTGTGAAGGCGACCTGTTCTTACTCCAGGTATCTAACACTTTCACATGTCGTAGGCGAGATGGGGTAGTTTGAGTTCCAATAGATGACGTAATATAAATTGGCGGTTGACTTCTTTTTGAAGAGGCGGATATGACTGGGCCATTCCGCAGTGACACAGGAGATGAAAGAGTTGCAGCAGCAGTCTTGTTAGGACTAAGTTCATCATCAGATTCTACCAGTACCTTACAACTGGTTCTTCGCATGGCGTTTCGTGGTGATCTGCGCTTGGATGGCGACATAACTGGTGCTGCGTTTTCAAAGCTAGACGACGGCAGATCCGCCATGAGTTCGTCCAACTCATCATCTTCTTGTTCCTGACGAGGGGGCCGTTTTTGCGTCGTGGTAGACTGATGTCTTTTTGCAGACACTTTCTTCAACCATTCGGACCCAGGCGCGCTTCTTTTTCTGATGGATGTTGAAACTTTTGCGTCGTCAGAGACCCAGAAACCATTTTTGTTACTGGCAAAAGGGTCAACCTGCTCCCTCCACGTGTTGACTTTTTCAATCCCATCTGCTGCCAGATATGGATGCTCTTGGGTATACGGAGCCTGCTTAAGGCTCTCGGGACTAGGCAGATGGCAATCGGCAGAACGGGCCGGCAGCGTAGGATCTGGCTTGGGCTTGCGGACCGAGTTCTTGCTTTGCGACGACGCAACTTTTTCGATGGGCCTAGAGGACCCTGTCGAGCTGCGAGCTGTCCCCGAGTGACGGTGGGATATCCATGGGTTGATAAAACCTGAACGTCTGTCAAATGGTCCCCTTAAAGCGGCGGAGAATAGCAAAGGAACAGCACCGTCTAAAAATCGCTGCCCAGCTTCTTCGTACCGGCGTCGTCTCGCAGCTGAATTATCGTAGTCCTCATCTTCTGACCCTTCATACAACACATCTTCTGGTTGGCAGAACGACGCTGAATACACAGTGTCGTCACCCCAAGTCTCCTTTAGCTCAGCCGATATGCCCCTGTCACCTGCCATCTTGTCGATTCTCGGCAGAGGCCAACTCAGGACATGGACAAACCAAGATGGTCTGTAAAAGCTGCATTTGATGTGTTCAATATGCGTATGAATGGTGTTCTTGGTCGGCTAAGCGGTTGACTGCTTAATCACTCAACGATTGTCGAAGCTTGAGACAGGCAGAAAATGACTTGAATAGGCCAGCCTCCTCAGAAGCATTGACGCGAAACGCGTTCACGGATGCACGTGATACCGCGTTAATGAGCGTTGGCCGGGGCTTTATTGTTCATTTTTAATTCCTGGTGAAGCCACTCTGGGTTGAATAAATAAAAAAAATGATTGAGAAAAGGAGAATATTGCTCTGAATAGGTCCGAATTTTTAAATAAAAATGTGCATCGTAAAATTCAGCTGCAAAGCACCATTTACGGCGAACATGAATATCTTGGCCCACGTGATGCAGCTACTCTGGGTTCGGTTGGCACAGCAACGGTCTCCACCCAATCAGCGGGGTTTGACTGTTTACTTGACTTGTCTGCCACAAGCAAACGCGCCACACAAGCCCTCGCGTGTCCAATTGCCTTTGACCAACTTAACTTGTTTTGCCATTTGACGCCGCATATTCATACTTTTGCCTCAGTCGCTCTCTGCTACAAGTGTACCTGGGCTTCCAGCAAGCGAAAGCCTCTTGTACATTAATTTTATATTTGGTCTTAATCGCCTGCATTTCAACCGGCGCATTCATAACAAAACAGCCCATTTCATCTACAACCCCACCTACCACAAACAAGCATTCACGGACATTCAACCACATGGCGCTCCAGTGAATTGACTACAATCCGTTTTCCATCCTCAGATCACTTGCCTTGTCATGGCGCATGCTTGGTTGGACTCCCTGTCGGAGGACTGGGTCTCTCAGCCTGGATCAGATGCATCTGATGGACAGCTCCCACCGCTCCCATCGCCAGACGAAATCGAGACGCCGCAAATAAAACAGTTCCCTAGCCGCATACCGCGCAGAGCCGGCAACAGGTCGTCGTTGCCTTCGGTAGATAGCAATAGTCCCCATGTTCTGAGCGAGCGCAGCGCCAACGACATCAACGTCTCCATCAAGAGATTGCCTTCGAAGCTGTCGCAAGAAGTCAGCGCAGACGTATCGCGATCCATTTCGAACGAGACAGATGGATCTGTTGTTCACAACAGAGTGCCGAGTCAAGGATCCCCAGATAAAAATAGCGAGACTCCAGAATGGAAGCGGCGCTTGGTATATGGTGACGTTGCATATGGCGAACAACGAGACCTCTTTTGCTCAGCTGCAGTTGGTCTTCAAGATATGTTCAAGCCTCCACAAGAAGGCGAAGAGGAGTCGGGACTCGGTGGTGATACATCTCAACATGTCGACATGACGATGCCGTCAAGCCCACCAACATACCCCCAACCTGTTACTGACGAGGACCTTGACGGGTTTCCCGATTTTGACGAGGATGAAGAATACCCCGAGGACGTTACGCCGAGCCCGAGCCCCAGGCGCTTGCAAAAAGAAATAAAGTACAAATTGAACGAAAGTTCGCCAATTCCCGACTCTCGTAAATCGGGCCAGCCTCGAGTCGACGACACGCTGGAGCATCAAACCGAACACGACATATCCCGCGACGAGAGCTGTCTGACTGCCCCCCTTGACAAAGAAGCCGCATCAAGGAAGCCTAGTGGTCAGAGCGACACGCGAAATGAAGATTTCAGCCCGATCTTGATCGGCAAACATAACGGCACAAACGGAAATGTGAATTTTGCCCCGATTGAGGTGCCCGTCGATCAACTCTGGCAAAAGCTGGAGCGACTACGAGTAAATCAATTGCTGCTTGATTCTCAGGCAAACCATCAGGCTGGTATTGATGCGAGTCCCAGACCTCCAGCCAACATGGAAACAACCGAAGATTATATCCAGAACGGAGGCTTCATCAACGTGCGACGTGGAGGAAGGTCCGGCGACGGCTCGTTTTACAACAGGGGTTTAAGCTCAGAACTCGGCGCCGACACATCACAAATGTTTCCAGAGGAGTCTTTACAAGCTAGTACTCCTAAAGAGTTCCCATCAGTGCGGACTCTGGGAACGAATCCATACCCTACGTTTCAGATCACGCAAAGTCCTTCTCTGCCTCGAGCACCCTTCCCGAGTCCTGAAAAGAAGCAGCTTGTACCTGAACAGACTCGACCACCAGCCACCAGCCCCCTGAAATTATTTGGGCCGTACGACACATTTACCAACCAAACCTTGCTTAGGCGTATTAGTCAATTCGAGGAGACATCGGGCAGCCCGTCCCAAAGGTCCACGACGTCCGATGTTATTGACCATCACCCTGAGGATGAAAGTGCGCTATCTGCGTCCACCCTGCAGAGACGAAACATCAGTAAATTTGGTGGGGGCGACTTGGATGGATTTGAATTTCAAGGTGACATATCCGACGAAATCTACGAAGATTCTGACGTAGTGGGCAAAGAAAACGTTGCGCCAAATGAGCCCTCCCTGCCATCATATCCGCTCCGAGGAATTCAAGCACAGGATTCCTCGCCTGATGGCTACTCTGGTCTAGTCATCGAGCGGAAACGCAGCAAAAACGAAACGCCATCTCGTGTAAGAGATGGCGAGACTCCCATATCATCAAATGGAGCATCAGTCACGTCTGGATCACCTAGACGGGATCTCGGGTCAGAGAGCAAGCGGCCGCGAACTTCTCCTTCGAAACACCCGACACCGAAACGAAGGCGAACGCTGCATCGATCAGATATTGCGTTTGGCCGAGAGTCTAAAGAAGAAGCAGCTGATACCACCCATCTACAGATGCATTCGCTCTCGTCGAGTAAAAAGCGCAAAGATGCTCTGCCTGGTAATTTTGAAGTAGCAGATCCCAACATTCTAGCTTCAAGGCCTATGCTGCAGCCACGAAGTCCAACATCTAGCAGGGGTTCATCAGCGTCATATGGCCAAGCCCAGAAGTCACATCTTCGGAACCCTGCCAACGAGCTCCCAACTCCACCAAGTGATGCTCCGACCGAGACGGACCGCAAGCCATCTATACGCACTCAGGACTTTGTGGACCAAGCGGCTCAAATAATGGCTATGATTCGAAACCAAGTGCAGCCAGAGCTGGCGAGCCTTGAAGAGTCTGAGGAGTATATTGAGGCAGAAGATCGACGACCATCATCAGGCGCGGAATCCTACCAAGATTCCACAAGCGAGCCCTTCTCCCGGCCTCCTAGCAGAGAAGGACACCCCATATCTTGGGTACCTCCACGTCAAGATGACCCAGAGTTGGCGAACAGGCTGAAACAATATGAGGAATTCAGTGATATGGGCGATGTCATTTCATCTTCGGTGAGATCTCTGGGTCTTGCGAAGAACGCCATGCCGGCATCACAGGATCCAACGCGACGAATTGATGGAGGAAATCAGTTGCGATCCAATATCATGCCGATTCCCGTGCGGGGTGAAGTAATTAGTGACCTCCCGAATGTGCGAATCACCACCAATCCTCTCGCCAACGCAGAGCAGGGGAGCTCGTCACAAGAGTATCCTTCACATTCATCGAACAGATCTACAAGCCAAACCTACCCATCGGCGTCATCGAGGGGATCCGAGTCTAGGCGCACAATAATGCCAGAGAGCGTATCCCATTTAATTCCTGACAGAGTTGGCAGCATGTGTTTGGACAAAGACAAGAAGGTGTGGATCAAGAGAAAGGAGTCAGTGTCGGTACCGGAATGCGATATTCTACCCTCGGAGGACAGTGAAGAGGATCCGTTCGCCAGTATTCCTGATCTTTCAGTTGACATGACAAGGGAGATGCATAATCTTAGACTTGCTACTGCTGGCAAGGAGCCAGCGATGGACAACCCTGAGGAGCGAAGCTCACCAAGGAGCCCCCCTCGACGAGTGGTGAGCAGAGGATATGTAACCCTGTCACCCAGTCAGCATATGAGTCCTCAGGACGGGGCCTTCACGAACGAAGAAGTTGAAAAAGTCGAGGGTCTTTCCGACTATCGCAAAGGAGATTCTACGACCAAAACCCAAGCTGGCCACCACAGAGGGAGCAATGCTCCATCGTTGACGAAGCGCCGGAACCTTACCATCTCGTTCTCTTCACCCATTGCATCTGTGATACGGGACATATCTCTTGAAGACCTGGATAGTATTGAGGAATCGGACGACCGTGACGAGGCTAACAACGCTGAAGCATCAACTCATCGGTCACCGCACCGATCCTCGTCACAGGTGGAAGCTAAACCGAGGAAAGGCTCTCAGCATGTTCGCGCAAACCCCAGCCAGGCTCCATTGAGACAAGCATCTTTCCGTGGCCCAGCCTTTATCCCTCGTCCTGTATCTCGTATTGACGAGCAAGACGAAGAGAGCACTGTTGAGCTTGCAAATGAAGACCGCCAGCTTAGTGTCATTGGGGAGCAAAGCATGCTGAACCATAAGACGCCGGACGGACGGCGGGCCAGCCTGAGCTTTGTTTTCAGCCAAACACCAGGGAACAGGGCGCTCGCTCTATCCGCCGAAGATAGTGAATTTATCGGACGAAATGTTGGCAAGCTATCGCTAAGCCCCCTCTCCGAGTTCACTCTCAACAATGCCGACCACTCTTTTGGATTTGAAGTCAGCTACGTCATGGGTCCTCGACACATGGCTACAGGGGACGGCTCTAATAAAGTTTTGTCCATGACGATAAGAGAACTGGTGGACCGACTCAGTGAAGCAGAGCCGCATGAATCCTTTTGGGAAGATCTTTCGGAACTTGACCTCCATGACAAGCGTCTTGCCAGCCTTCACATGTTGGACGAATTTTGCGGCAAGTTGGTAACGCTGGATGTGTCGGGAAATAAGCTGAACCACTTGGAGGGCGTGCCTTCAACCATTCGAGAACTTAAGGTGTCTCAAAACTTTTTGACGGAGTTGACATCGTGGGATCATCTGATGAACCTGCAATATGTGGATATTTCTGGCAATGAGGTGACGAGTCTGTCGGCTTTGAAGAACCTGGTCCACCTTCGAAGTATCAAGGCTGATAATAATCAGCTTACAAGTCTGGATGGCTTAGACGCTCACGATGGATTGTTGCATGTGCGGGCCAGGAACAACATGATTGAGGAAGTCGATTTTGCGGCGTCGCGATTTGTACGGCTTGAGGACCTGGATTTGGGCGGCAATCGAATCAGCTCCGTGCAAAACTTGGACATGCTTCCGGCGCTGGCCCGTTTAAAGCTATCCAAGAACAAACTAACGGCTCTTCCCATGGCAGAGTGCATGAAGTCACTGCGACACCTTGATGTCAGTGACAATGAGTTGCTTGTGCTAGACATTGCTTCATTCCCCAGCCTCCATTCAATACACGCGGATAGAAACCACATCAGCCAGGTATGTGGATTTGATCGAACTCGCCGGCTAGACAGTCTATCCCTTCGTGAGCAACGAGGAAAAACTCCACTGGATCTCGGCTTCTTATCCAGTGCATATGAAGTTCGCAAGCTATTTTTGTCAGGCAACTACATGCGAGAATTTGAGCCACGGGTCGACTTTCTCAACATGCAGCTTCTCGAGCTATCCAACTGCGGGCTGCAGCGCCTTCCGGACAAAATGGGCCAGTTGATGCCAAACTTGCGAACGCTGAACATCAACTTCAATGCGCTAAGTGACCTGTCGCCTCTGCAGTTCATCCCTCGACTCAAGAAGCTTCTCGCGGCGGGGAACAGACTGGCCGACTCGACGCGGGTAACACAATTGTTGACAGAGTTCCCCCATTTGACACGGCTTGATGTCCGCGACAACCCGGTGACGCTGGGATTCTACGCTCCGCTGCAAGTTCTGGTACCAACTGACGGCTCAGGCGTGGCGGATCCCTTTGTTCTGCCTGATGCCGACGTCGCTAGGGACGAGATGTTTGCAAGTAGGCTAGACGAGGCTACGAGGCTGCGGAGACGGCTGCACCAAGTCGTTCTCGTAGCGAGCTGTGGACGGTTACGAATGCTGGATGGTCTTGCCGTCCGCCGGCGAGAAGTCCTAGCACGAGATCAGATGCTGCAGACACTGATTAATGACGGACTCGTTCCCGACCCGGAGCGGCCGCAGGTGCAAGAGAAGGAATCGGAGCCTATCGATGCGAATCTAAACGGTCCAGATGCAATTGACGAGGAGACCATGGCAGATGAACAAGCTAGAGCACAGCTTGAGGAGGAAGCCGAAACAGCGTGGCACAATACCATTCACGAAAATCAGTAGCAAAGCAGAGAAGACAGACTATACAGGACATGGCAAGTAAAAGAGAACGTGGAAGGCGAGAAGGAGCATGGCGTTTGGATTGCTTCTGCAAATGCATTTTGTTACTGGGCGCAACATGGCCGGTTGGATTAGGGTAATTTGGGCATTGTGTTTATAGTCTTTGCACATGGTTGGGAAAGTGTATGAGTAGCTGGTATTCAATGATGAGTTATGAGTTATTCAGCGTCGAATCAGGTGATGCGTAAAGATTCCGTGCCATTTATCATGGGGGGTCTGATTGGCCTCAAACTGCATAATGGATGATGATGACATGGATCACGGAGGCTGGGGTGAGCGAAGGTTGATTGGGGGCCCGACAGACTGGTCAGGCAAAGACAGGGCTGAAGATGCTTGTTTGCATGTCTCATTGTGGAGAAGGGAGGCGGCGAGCCTGCATAGCATCGAGAATATCCGTGCATCAGCGACCTGTTCCGGGCCTCTTTTCCCCTTCATGACAAAGGGGGAAGGTCAAAGGGCGCGAGGGTGGTATTTTCGCAAGCTCCTTGGTTTTGTTTTTTTCCCTTCTCTTGGTGCCAGTGTAATCACAGCGCATGCCGGCGCCTGACGATTTGCCCAGGGAGAAAACGGGCGGCGCGGATTCCAGGGGCAGCCGGTAGTTAACACGGTGTTCAGTCGGCCCTTGTTCACGGCTTGTCTCATGTCGTGGCTGGCCTCGTTGGAACGGACGGGGCGCACAGGGGTCGTGACTGTGGCGGGGACGGGCGGCTGGCTGAAGCGTGAGAAAAGAAGAAGAAAGAAAAGAAAATTGCGAATTGTGAAACTTTTGTTGGTCGCGAATGACGAGTAGACTATTTTGGTGGTTTTTGGTGCGCGTGGAAAACGGGTTTGCATGTCGGCCATGGCACACGGAGTAGAGATGGGCGCCCGCGCTGGCTGTCACAATCACGTCACGGGCGCTACGGACGGGCTTTGCAGCAGTCGCGCGCGTGGCCGGCATGCGTACATGTATGCCGGGGGTTGCACTGGGTAGAATGAAATGGCTGAGTCGTGGTGTTGAAGGCGATGGGATGCCAGAGCAGAGCGCTCAAGTGCCGGCCAGCACACGGGACGCTCCTTCCCCAGCATTGGAATACAGAGCATTTGATCGCTCCTTCCCGCGCTTGTCTCGTCGCGCTAGCATGCACCAGACGAAATCTGTGCGAGACTGCATCTCGCACTGCGGCTGCTCTGGTCTTTGGTTCCCCACACGTAGACGCCACTGTCAAGGGAAGGAGTGGCGCCGCCGTCAACTCAAACGGCAGTCGCCATGCAGAAACACGAGCATGACTGACGAGTCCACTTCCACTTCCGCTTCCGCTTCGACTTGCCTCTGACGGACTCCATTCATGCGCTTTATTGCCCGCGACCATCCCTCGAATCCCACGCGCTCCAGCTCTTGCACCCCTTTGCAAACATTTGCTACGCGACCGTCACCATCGTCTTCTTCTTCTCGTTGTTGGTGAATGCCCACATCCGCTACTAAAAGCTGTCACATGGACAGGCTTGCAGCCTCTCAGCCAGTCGTTCTCGCTTCGACCACCACACCTGGCACACAACGCGGTCCTCAACAATAAAGCTCGCATAAGAAAAACAACGACTCAAACGAACAAACCAGTACCGAGGACAGTCCTCTGCCCTCTCGACATGCACCTCTGTCGGGGAGGGACATAGCCACATCTGCTTTGAACAACCACCACACTTTTGTGCATTGTCGATACCACTACCGCACCACAAAGCTCCCCTTGAGCGATGGACACGACGGCAGAACCCACGTCGTCATGTCATCTTGAGCGTTCATTCTCGCAGCACAGCGTAGCATCTACGCGTTCCATCCGAAGTACTAGAAGTAACCGGAGCACCACGCTGCGTGCTGGTCGCAGTCGCCGGCTCCTCAGTCAGCCAAATGGCTCAGCAAGCAGTATCGCTGCGAGCGACAAGTCTTTGACGAGCTTTCCTAGTTTCAGCCCCGACCCTACTGATGCGAACCTTTTCCACAACAAAGAGGAGCGCCTCAAAACGGCCACTCAGGATTCAGAGAATAGCCGTATGAGGAACCTCAGCAACAGAGGTCTCTCCATAGTCGACAGTCTGACAGGCAAGAACGCGTCTCGCGATGCCTTGTTTGAGGATGCTCCACTGCGACAATCGATCCCGGGCGCGTTACACCGGGCTGATGATAGTCACATCGAGCGGCTGATTTCCCGGCATGGAGCGGTCCCGCTCGTTCGTCAAATTGCCGAAGACTTGGCGCAGAGGGATGTTCAAATTGCTGCGCTTCGTCGACGAGCCGATGAGCGGGAGCGAGCGCTCAGGAAAATTGTTAGGGAATGTGGTCTGTCAAACATGGACCTGGAGAACCGGCTCAAGACGGTCGAGGCTGAGATGCGATCCAATGAACGCAGACATAGCGATGGGGAGAATGGGCTGACGGATCTCATGAGCGATGCGATGCAAGATACCATGACAGCGCATGTATACGGAGAAACGGAGCGAAGAGACGCTACAGTTCGCGCAGGCGGCAATAGCAAGGGAACCATTCGTGGATGGAAGGAATACCTCTGGGGAGGCGGAACTGCAAAACGAGGAACCCGTGCGAGCAGTGTCAGTGTCAATGGCGAGGACGCCAACCCGGCTACTATAGTGCGCTCACAGTCAAGCATGGACAGGCGACCGACAATCCAGGACGATCTATTCACTCCTCCGCCGGAACCCAACACAACCACAAACCCGACCAGTTCAAGCCGCGCTTCTAGTGTCCATTCCACAGCAGCCTCTGAGCGGAAGTCGTCGGTTTCTCTGGCAAGCCTCGCCTTGCGGCTCGTAGCTGGAGGCACCGCGACCCCGCGAGATGCCGAAGTCAGAGGCAGAGCTGTGAGTGCATCTGTTCGCGACGCCTCCAGAGCAGGATCAACTGCCAGTATTCGGACAGCCCAGTCTGCGCGGGTTGCGTCCATGGCTGGAAACCCCAAGGCCTTGATGGCCATGCGGCGGACTTCTCAGACACCACAACCCTTGACTAGCACAAAACCACAAGCACAAGACATGTGGAGGAATATGGCGAGCAGCCCACCGGATGCCATCAATGCACGCCAGGAAAGTTGCGGCCCTGTTGAGATGGATGCTATTTTGCCACCCGAATCGCAACCTCCCACTTTATCCCATATCTATCAGAACAATGCCCAAGGCGAGTTTCTAACGGATAGATTTGGGTTCATCTACGATCAGCGCCGGAAGAGGAGACAGCGGGAAGCGGCACATATGGCAGATCAGATCAAAGGCGGCCGGACTGAGATGCTCACCAACGGCCGCACCGGCATATCTCCAAATCTTGTTGAAGGGCTTCCAAGCCCTAAATGGAGCGTCTCAAGTGGTGGCAGACCTGGCAGCCCCAGCAGCCACGAGGAACGAATCGAAGATGACAGCAAGCCGAAGCGATGGCAGGATTATCTGAAGATTGCTACTTTTCCTACTGAGCTGTTGAGCCATACACCAAGTGTTAGTGCGTCTGCACTGGAGGTATTGGAGGGCACTGGTGTCTTGACTCCCGAAATTCACGAGCCGGAACCGTTCAAGGGACCGAGTATTATGCCCACAACCGCTGGTTTGGTTCTTCCGCAGCCAAGCACGACAACTGCAGTTGACAATGAAACCACACAGCCCGCAGAGAGGGACGCAAACGTCACTGCGGTTGTCACGGAAGACACGGAGCCGGTGAAGCTACTACTGGAACAGCTTAGCGATGTTCACGACGCATTGCAGCGCGACAAGACGGTGAAATGGAACGATTTTCTCCGCAAGGTGAGAGCCGAGCGCCGACGTGAAGGCCAGGCTGCCGTGGCAGCCGCTGCAGCGGTCGCTGAGGCTCGTTTCGAGACACCTGCAGTGATTCTTCCCGAGACTCGGGTGGCAGACGGTGAAATCATTGGCATCTCGGGCCTTGGGAACAAGGGCAAGGTGGGCCGGGCCAAGTGGAACGAATTCAAGTCACTGGTGCTTGGCGGCATACCCGTTGCATTTCGCGCCAAGGTCTGGTCTGAATGTTCTGGCGCAAATGGACTGCGCGTTCCCGGATACTACGAGGACCTTGTCGCACAAAACGGCGAGGATGATGACGCGGCAGTGGTCAGCCAGATTCAAATGGATATTCACCGAACGCTGACAGACAACATTTTTTTTCGAAAGGGCCCAGGAGTACAGAAGCTGAACGAACTGCTCCTTGCGTACTCGCGCCGGAACAAGGATGTTGGATACTGCCAGGGCATGAACTTGATTGCGGCGAATCTTCTCCTCATCATGCCGTCGGCAGAAGAAGCGTTTTGGATTCTGGCATCAATTATTGAAAGCATTCTACCCCACGGCTACTACGACCAATCGCTCATGGCGTCGCGGGCCGACCAGCAAGTGCTGCGGCAATTTGTGTCGACGGTGCTTCCCAAACTGTCAGCGCATCTCGACTCGCTTTCGATCGAGCTTGAGGCGTTGACATTCCAGTGGTTCCTGTCGGTATTTACTGACTGTCTTTGCGCCGAGGCCCTTTTCCGGGTGTGGGATGTGGTGCTGTGTACTAATGACGGGAGCACGTTTCTCTTCCAGATTGCGCTGGCGTTGCTGAAGCTGAATGAGCAGAATCTTTTGCAATGCGACACGCCGGCAGGAGTCTACACATACATCAACCACCACATGACGGAACACGCGATTAGCATTGACGGCTTGATTCAAGCTGGCGAAGCACTGCGACGAGTTGTGCGGCGCGAGGATATTGAGCAGCGGCGGAACAAGGCGATACAGGCGGAGAAGGACATGCTGGCCGAACGAGATGGCAATGCTCAGAAGAGGACGGCCCAGAAGGCAGCGGAGGACGAGGGATTGAGTGTCGAGGAGCCACGGCCGATGGAAGCCTAAATGCACAGGATAAAGAGGTGGTTGGATAGAGCTGGCTAGATGATACCCACATATATATCCTTTGTCTATTTCTTGTCTAGTGTCATATAAAACGTTCCATGTTTATATGTAGCTCGTAAGCAGCGGGGACCTGCCGTGAAGCGTGGTTTTGCAGCGGTCAGCAGTCACGTCGGACCATGATTCTAACGTAACACGGCAGGCAACCAACGCCTGTCACCCAGGCGGCTGATATCCCATTTATTGAAATACACGCCATACATGTAGCCGTGTGTCATGATGGTCAAATTTCTATTCCTTGTTTCCCTCTATTTTCCCCTTCACAGCTTAGATTTGTTCTCCTTGTTCCACTGCTCAAACCACACCTTTCCAAACTCCTTCCGCTCGCCGTCGAGCCTCTGGTCCTCGTTGAAGCGGGCCTCCTCCCTGTCGACGCCCTCCTTGCGCAGCTCCTTGAGCAGGTCCTTGTGCAGCTCCGTCTTGATGACGCCGTAGACGCCGGCTTTCGCCTTCTCCGTCAGCTGGCGCTCGGCGATGAAGCGCAGGGCGTCGTCGAGCGAGGCGGCCGTGGCGTCGGCGAGCCCGTACTCGACGGCCTGCTGGCCCGTGAAGCGGCGGCCCTCGAGGGCCACGGTGCGGTAGGCCTGCGGCGCCAGGCGGTGCCGGAAGATGGCGGCCATGGGGGGCTTGAGCGGCGCCCCGAAGAGAACCTCGTTCAGGCAGAGGAAGCCCTTGGGGTCTGGGGCCAGGCGGTAGTCGTGGGCTTGCGCGAGCATCAGGCCGCCGGCGAAGGTGTGTCCGTTGAGGAGGGCGACCGTGGGCATCGGGTACCTGTTTTTTTTTACAGTTTGGTTAGTGAAATGTCAAGAGGTAGAAAGGGGGGGAACGACTTGCGTTAGGAGGCGCGTCCACAGGTCGAAGAAGAGCTGCCAGAAGCCGTCGGTGTTGATGGCGTGCTCGAGGTCCAGGCCGTTGGAGTAGAACTTGGGGATGCCGCTGGTGGTGACGACGACACCGGGGGTGTAGCCGCCGAACTCGAGGATGTCGAGGGCCTGGAGGAGGGCGCGGCAGAACGCGGTCGTGAGGCGGTTGTCCGGGGGGGAGACGAAGGTGAGCAGGTAGACTTGGGGCTGCGGCTGGGTGGCGGTGATGGAGCCGCCTGGGTGGGCGCCGCAGGGGGGGATGGGCACGGTGAAGAGGGACATTGTTGGAGGCGGGATGACGCTGGTGAGGATTGGGTAGAGATGGGGGGGACAGGGAGAGTGGGATGCGAGTTGAGATATAGGATGGGTTTTTGGCGTTGAGCTGGGAGCCTCGGCTTGTGATTGCGACGGACCCGCTCCGGCGTCAGACACGGGGGGACGGGGACGGGGGTGGATCCGTCCACATGTCAGGCCGGCAGTGCTGCGCCGCGCAGGACTGCCGGCGTTTTCATGGTGAATTCCCCGCGGGTTGGGGATAGGGCAGAGTATGGGAGGCTGTGCCTGGCTGGTGTCGACTTGGTGATTGATTCGTGTGCTGTCTGGTAGTGCTTGGCCTTAGGTCTACCCGAGAGGGGGCCGAGGTGCCGTGTACTTGCCCAAACGGGAGTCCGTCGGGCGATAGAATAATCGCCCCGGGCCACATACAATACATAAATAATGTCTGGTCGCACGCTTGGCGCGGCGCGGCGGCAGGTACATGGTGCGCGAGCAGCTGGCCATTACGTCGATGCGGCTCTTACACCACCTCGCCTACGCTGGTGCCTAAAATAAATTCATGCTAATTACCACGGTATCAGGCGTTCATAATTAAGCCCCTTTTTGCCTTGACGTCCAGAACCTGCTCCACTTTCCCGAAGCAGAGCTACCCCTGCAGCCTGTCACTCAATCTGCTTCACCCCACCAGCTCAAAGCTGTCCTCAACCACATGAAGCCTTCACATCCAACCACCTCTCCAACGTCCATGACGCTCCCATCGCCGCCGTCATGGACGCAAGCACGCCCAATCCGCCTACCCTAGGCACCGACGCCGTCGGCAGCACAATTGTCTTCTTCCACCCCGACCTCGGCATCGGCGGCGCAGAACGCCTCGTCGTCGACGCAGCCGTGGGCCTGCAAACCCGCGGCCATAAAGTCGTCATCTTCACCAACCACTGCGATCCGACACATTGCTTCGACGAGTGTCGCGATGGTAACCCTCCTCCCCCCTTCTTGACCCTTGAAGTCTGTCTCCTGCTAAAAAAAATTCCTCCCCAAGGAACCCTCGACGTCCGCGTCCGCGGCAACTCCATCGTCCCGCCCTCCATCTTCTCGCGCCTGACGATCCTGTGCGCCATCCTCCGCCATATCCACCTCCTCCTAACCATTCACCTGACGGGCGAGCTCGCGGCCCTCAGTCCACGCGCCTTCATCGTCGACCAGCTCTCCGCCGGCCTCCCTCTCATGCGGTTCCTCGCCCCCGACGTGCCCGTCCTCTTCTACTGCCACTTCCCGGACCTGCTGCTCGCCCAGGGCCGCCAATCCCTCGTGAAGCGCCTTTACCGCGTGCCCTTTGACCGCCTAGAAGAATGGAGTATGGGCTTCGCCCACGCCGTGGCCGTCAACTCCAAATTCACCCGCGGCATCGTGGGTAACACCTGGCCCGCCCTGCAGAACAAGGTGCCGATCAACGTCGTCTACCCCTGCGTCGACACCCACACCACGCACGAGACGGCGCCAGACGAGGCCAAGCTGGCCGCGGGCAAGAAGCTGATCCTGAGCATCAACCGCTTCGAGCGCAAGAAGGACATTGGACTGGCAATCAGGGCGTTTGCCCAGATCCCCGAGGAGCAGCGACGCGGCGCGCGCCTCGTGCTCGCCGGTAAAGCCCTCCTACCCTCCCCCGCGCCAAAGCCGGAATGCTAACCTCGCAAAAAAAAAAAGGCGGCTACGACGCCCGTGTGTCCGAAAACGTCCTCTACCACGCCGAGCTCCAGGCGCTCGCGACGTCCCTCTCGCTCGCGCACCACACCCTCACGCCCGCGGAGCTCGGCTCGGCCGCCGCGCCCCCAGACGCCCAGGTGCTCTTCCTCCTCAGCGTCCCCGGCGCGCTCAAGGCGGCGCTCCTCCGCGCCGCCCGCCTGCTCGTGTACACCCCGGCAAACGAGCACTTTGGCATCGTGCCCCTCGAGGCCATGCTCGCGCGCGTCCCCGTGCTGGCCGCCAACACGGGCGGGCCCGTCGAGACCGTTGCCGACCGGGAAACAGGCTGGCTGCGCGACCCGGCCGACGCGCCTGCCTGGACCAACGCCATGGCGCGCTGCCTCGCGCTGCCCGACGACCAGCTCGCCGCCATGGGGGACGCCGGCCGCCGCCGCGTCAGGGAGCTGTTTGGCCGGGACAAGATGGCCCAGACGCTGGACGAGAGCCTGGTCCAGATTGCGGGTCTTGCCGAGGAGAGGCGTGTCTCCGGCGCCGCGGGCTTTGGTGTCCTGGCGGCCTTTATCGCCGTCTGCGCCGTTTTGGCGGCCTGGTTTGCATTTTGATGGCGTACGGTCCAATAGACGTGTTTTGTTTGGCGGTGCCTGCGTGCCCGCGGAGCCTCGGGAGAGTGGCATCGTGTTTGTGTTGGAAATGCATGCGCTGCATACTTAAGTAGGCTTGTGATAGATAGACCGATATTTTGACTTGGCGGGCGCGTCGAGGGAAATAACCCAATCTACAAGACAGTCCGCCCTCGCACGCGGACTCTAGAGAGAAAAGCACATGATAGAAATCAAGGGCCAGCAAGATTATGCACAACAACACATTGATACACATTCTTTGCCGTCCATATACATTGTGACATTCTCCATTATGTACACTACGTCAATACACAGGCCAAGCCTCTCCAAATAAAGAAGAAAAAAACAGATACTGATTTCATGCCTGCCGACGGCTGGCTCATTCGACAGCTAACCTCCCAGATGTATCTATATATGCAATGCTGCCGGTACCATGCAATATTCAAACCCTGCTGAACAAAATACCCCCCCGAGGACCATCCCTACTCCGGCCACCCACGGACAGTTCCAAAAACAAGTCAAAAGAAGACGAGAAATAAAACAAACCTCCTGACGGGATCCAGACGCTCATTAGCCCGTCTGCTCAGAGACAAATACCACCCTAGATCCATTCTAATGTGTCACGCCGGGCTGCATAGTCCCGGCGGAAAGTAGACAGAAAGATGAAAAAAGAGCAAAACAGACGAGGTAAGAAAGAAAATTCAAGGGCCAAACGCGCCGTGTCGCCTAATGCAGTCCGAGTCCAGTTGCTCGTGGCAGATTTGGGCCATCTCGTTCCAATCGTCTCCAAAATATGCCTGCATATTTCAAAACATGGCTTCATCCAGTGCCATGCCTCTTCTGCGCAAGGTACGTCATGTCGTTAGGTCGTCAGTCAGTACAGTTGCGCCATTCATTGATCATTATGCCTGCTAGGAAGAGGCATCGATTCCATCTCCGTCTTGAATCATGTCGTTGATGCGTACAACGCTGGAAGAGAGAAATATTGGTTTGAATAACTTGAGTAACAAGAAAGAAGTTTGAAAGGCCGCAAGGCCCATCTATCACTGGTTGCGTCTTGCATCCAGTTCCATTAAAAGGGGGAAAAACCAAGCGTGGTATCGCGGTCTAATATTCGGGTATATCAGACTTCCTGACTCTTTGCAAAGCAAGGAAGCATCCAGGTAACCATCTTTCGTCTAACGAAATCGTGCACCAACCCATCCGTTACTTGGACTTGCGTGGGTGCAAAATATAAGGACAAGTGCCAGTTTCATGAGTCCCGGAGACGCATGGAATCTTCGTCATAGACGGACACCTTCTTGGCTGTCTCGTCGCTAGCCGTGCTCGCACCAGTGTCGCGTCTTTTAGCCTCAAACGGACGAGACGAGTGTGACGCACTGGTTGGCGATGCTTTCTTCTTAGACTTGGTCATGAGGAAAATCCCTTCATCACTATCGTCGTCCTCGTCGACACGAGGTGTCCGAGAGTCCATGTCCTC